GATTGAGGGAGGGGAGGGAAATGGGAGGCGGTGGCGGGGAGGAGACAGAAATCTTAAATAAATAAATAGAACAGTTTTCACCAGGTTGTGGCGTGTTTACAGACACCTAAAATAAACAACTCAGTGTCATACTCCTGAAGTTTGAGCCAACACTGGCTTTGAGCCATATTACACCAAACTGCCTTCTTCCCTCTAATGGCTCATCTCTCTGCTGCCTGTGAAGGCCAATGAGACCCCTCCACAGGGACAGTCTAAAGAAATAGTAACTGAGGATTTTCCTGGCACCTATCCATAAAACTACAGAAAACAAGAGACAGTTCTTAAGACAGCAAGAGGAATCAAAGGCAGATTACATTCTGAAGAAGAGCTAACGTAATCAAGACTGGTATAGGAACATACAAATAAACCAATGGAAACTGTTTCTTCAGTTGTTCAGTGCTGGAGCTCGAACTCAGAGCCTTGGGTAAGCGAGGCAAGTGCGTTTTCACCAAGCTCTACCCCAGTGCTTAGATCAATGGAATAGAATAACAGGCTCTGAATTATACTCATGCATATAGAGATATGCATGTATTTTCAGATTAATGAGAACCCAAAGGATTTTGCAATATCTGATTTGAAAAAGGGGGAATAAGATGGGGAAACCTGACCTTACTTTCTAACATACACAAAAATCAGATATAAGTGGATCATCCAAATAGGAAGTTTAACCTCATCGCTTTGGGAATCAATAGACAGTAGCTGCATGATCTTGAGATACAGAGGTCTTCTTTTTTAAAAAAAAAAAATTAAATTTTGAACTGTGTATGAAACAAAAACATTTTGCTTGCATATATGTGTACCCTGTACATGCCTGGTGCTGGCTGTAGTCAGAAGAGGGTGTTGGATCTCCTGAGACTGAAGATGTTACACATAGCTGTGAGCCACTATGTGGGTTCTGGGAATCAAATCAGGGTCCTCTGCAAGAGCAATGGATGTTCTTAATCTCTGAGCCTTCACGCCAACCCCTGACAGATGTTTAATATTTAATGCTTGACGCAAGTGATCTGAAGAAAAGTATAAACTCTGGCTCTCTCATGCAAAGAAATATGTGCATTTTAAAATGGAACTTAACAAAACCATTTGCTAACAGAAGATTCATGATTTATGATATTTTTAGTGAAATTGTAAGCTACAAATGGTACATGAAGCATAATCTGATGTAGGCACAATAACAAAACTCGTTGAAATATTAATATTAGTCACTTGGTCAATTGTTCTTGCTAATTTCTGGGTTTTGAAATTTTTAAAATAATCATTTATTTAAAATAACAAACTTTGGCCGTTGAAGTGCATCATGGCCACTGTGGTGCTGCTGGAGCTTGTGAAGGGACTGGTCCTGTGGAACAATACCTGCAAGATCTCCAAAACACAGGACACCTCATGAGACTCTGGTGGGGATCCAGAGAGGAGGGGGAACCAAAAACCAGAGGCCTTGAACCAGACCAATGGCTCACTGCAATGAACAGTTGCCAGTCAAGCTGATTGGACAAAGGGATATACTATATGTCACATGGAAGCCTCCAATGCCATCAGGACAGACGAGGAGGTGACAGAGAGACAGAGCGTTGGGAGAGAAGGAAAAGCAGGGATTTTTCTGTTTCAGGTGTGGGTTTTGTCCTGTTTTGGTTTATTGAGGGTTTGTTGTTATTGCCTTTGTTTGCTTACTTGCTTGCTTATGTTGTTTCGTTTTCTTTTGTGTGGGAGGGACGTAACAGGGATGAGGAGAGGAATATGGGGGGACTGGGAGGTGAATAGAATTGGGGTGCATGATGTGAAACCCCAAAAGATTCAATAAAGAAATTAAAAAAAAATAACAAATTTCGGGCTGGAGAGATGGCTCAGAGGTTAAAAGCACTGGCTGATCTCCCAGAGGTCCTGCGTTCACTTCCTAGCAACCACATGGTGGCTCACAGCCATTTGTACTGAGATCTGGTGCCCTCCTCTGTCTGTCGTGCAGGCATACATGCAGACAGAACACTGTATACTTAATTTTTAAAAATCTATTAAAAAAACAACAAAAAATAAAAAAATTCATACTTAAAAAGATGAATGTCCAACAAGCGAAAGTAGAGTAAGTTTTCCAACAAGTGAACATTAGGTGTAGGTTGAGTATTAGGAACTAATCGTAGGCACTGCTATTCTTTTCTCAGTGGAGACAATATAAGGATCTATACCCAATTGACAAGTCATCACTAAGCAAGCATTTCCAGAAGGCATACGAAAAGGAAAGCCCGACTATTATTTGTAGTTCATTGTGCACGCTGTCCCTTTTCTGGACAACTCCCCTGGCAAAGGCTAAAACTGGGAGTAGGAAAAAAAAAACAATTGGGACACGCCAGGTTTTTCTTGGTCAGGCCAGCGAGTGGTGACCAGGGGAGAACAGGTTTCCTTTATTGCTGCCCCGGGTTGGAACCAGACCTCACCTCAGAGAGGGTTCCCGGGGACAGAGCTCCTAAGTCACCACCTGACGGATGACAGGAATCCCATGGTAACACGCAAGATGCCACATACATCTGGGCACAGTCTTAACTTCAGCCACAGTCCACAGGGACCAGACGTTTCATGTTCTCAGAGAAAGCCTATCAGAATGTATTACAGACGACCCACAAAAACCATTCAGGGCACTGTGGCCACACAGGCTTCGCCTGTTCTCACCGGAAGCCCTTGCAGTGGTCTGAGATCGGAACCTGTAGCAGAGGACAGAAACCTAGGAACCGCACAACGCAGGGCTTTCTGCCTCAACGGTCCCGCCAGGAGAGGGAAACACCCGAGTTCCGGCGAGACGCGTGACCGGCCGCTAGGCTTTCTGGGAAGTGTAGTCCACAAAGATACCTCAGCTAAGCGCCCCCAGCGCCCTCTGGCTGCCCCCGCAGCTGCTCACGGCCAGTGCAGCTTCGCAGCCAGCGTCACCAGATCGCCCCGCTAACGGGCTCGACCACCAGGGCGCCCTCGGCCCGCTTTCCCGTCCCTCACACAGGACACGCAGCCAGAGCGCTGACCGGAAGTTGGGTCGGGCCGCGAGGCCTTCTGGGAGCACCTGCGCTCTGGGACTTAACGGTCGCGCGCTGCTGTTGGGGGTCTATGGATCTGTCTGTGGGGCTGCTGCGTGTAGCGTCTCGGAAAGGAAACTGCGTTTCGGGGGCTTGGGGCTCGTGGCGCTGCCGGGAACCCTCCGCGGGAAGCGAGGGAGCAGCCCAAGTGATCCGGTTTGCGCCGGCCGCGGGCTGCGAGCTCTCGGGGGGCTCGGAGCACCCCGAGTAAGAGCCGTGCCTCCGGGATGCTCTCCGCCAGCGGAACTGCCCTGTGAATGTTTGGAGTTGCAGCCAAAAAACTGGTGTGTGTGTGTGAGATAGAGAGAGACTCTGGTGGTTTTGAGGTGGTGTGGTGAGTGTGAGGGTTGTGTACCGTGTACTGGTTCGGGCCCTATTGGCTTTTCATAACTAGTAACTAACGAAAACATCCTGTATTTTTTTTTTTAAAGGATTCCTCCTTCATTGCCTCTCCGCCTTGATCTTCCCCCGCCCCAACACTTTGTTCTCTAACTTTTCAGTTTTTCTTTTTATAACTTTCTAAGTTCATTATTATCTAATGGTTTGCTTGGCTTACATATTTACTTATTATTTGTTTAATCATGCAGCGTTGGGGTTAAATCTAGCGCTGCAGTCATGCCACGCAAAAGCTCTGAGCTACATTCCTAGCCCTGAGATTAGTTTAATAATGGGTTTTTTTAAAAAGAGAAAGAGAGAGAACGCACTATCTCTAGGCTCCGTGGCAAACAGCTGGGATTCATTCTCCAATCACCGTTGTTAGCAGGTTCACCGTTTTTAGCTGATCCCGGCTGCGTTTGGGTGAAACGGCAGAGCAGGCAGGATGAGTTCAGATCTGCCCTCCGTTTGTCTTTTCTGGGACAGTGGTTAAAAAGAACTGGTTCTGAAAACATTTTCTTTTCTCAGTGAGTTACTGGATCATTCAAGGGCTCTAAAAAACCCTGCTTTCAAATGTGTCTGTATTACATGAGCCAAAGAAAAGTTGTGTGGGTAAGCTTGTAACCCACTTACAGTCTGAAGACGGTGCAGTGTTACCGAAGTCACCATTTTCCTCATTAAGACGCATCCGTCTTAATTCTGGAGCTTACCTTTTAGTCCAAGTGATCTTGTTTGATAATACTGCTTTTTCTCTCTTTTTTCAAATTGCATTTGTCGAGAATCTTATATTCCAAACCCTTTGTCTTTATGTTTCAGGTTTCTCATGAGAATTGTATCAGCTGAACCTTTTAATTCATTTATCTGGCTGGACTGTTAATAGGTGAGTTTAATTCTGTTTTGTTTATCATAATTACTGGCTTGGTTTGTGTTCTCCGTGTCTATTTAACAAGACCCACACTTAAATAAGACATTGAAATACTTGACGGCTAAGCCAGCTGGCCATCTTTGTCTGTTATTCTTGGGAGTAAATCACATTCTCCTCCTTTAAAATTCTCAAGCTGTGTGTGGTGACTCACGTCTATAATCCTAGCACCCACGGGGCTGAAGGAGGAGGTCACGTTCAAGGCTGCTTGCAGCTAATCAAAGGTACAGTGAGACAGACACTGTCTCAGAGCCCCAGGGGGATAGCCCATATCAGCAGATAATACGCAATATAAAATTGATTGTATTAAGGTTTAATCATATACTCCAGTGACATGGAGTATACATGTTATGTTTTCATCATCACTCCCCACCCACAGCATACTGTTATTAAAGGCTCATAGATGGTTGACTAATATATTTTAATAGCCATTTCACTTATTTATATCTAATATGATTAACAAGGTTATAATTTTTATTTCAAATGAAAAGCCTTGAAATTCTAAATTCCAGTGCTCTTTTTACCTAAATTGTAAATTACCAAGGCAGTTCAGATAGAGAATGGTAAGAGCTGGATTTTTAATGCTGTCCCCTTTACTCTAACATGGGATTTCTGTGACTTAAGTATTACGAAAACTGCGTTATCATAAGCTTGTGAGATGCACACATGTCACGGCATGCGTGTGGAGGTAAGAAGACATCTTTGGAGCCAATTCTCCCTTTCCTCTTTTAATGAATTCCAGGAGTAGAATTCAGGTTATCAAGCTCAAGCAATAGGTTTTGTTTCCCAGTGATGCATCTTGCAGCCCTGAGTTGTCTGACTCAGCGTTCTCTCTGTCCCTGTGTTCAGAGATGTTTGAGCATCTCTGTGTTTCTAGACTCTAGTTGTCTCTGTTGAGCACTTCATGTAGCCTGAGGCACTGAGGCTGGCTTTTATCTCTGAGCCCACCTGGTTTTTCATCCAGTAACCTCAGCCAGTACTGGGTCTGAGTTGCGGGCAAGGAAGTAAGTGTTGGGGGCAGTGCTAGTTATCTCTTGCTTTGTGTCCCGTTGTTTGAAAACGCCACATTTTAAACGGCAGTCATCTACTGGAAAATACTGACCGTGGGGCTGTCTGAGGCTGGCTTTGACAGAGAGCCTGTGAGAACACATGAGGCAATGTGATTTCTGGTCTGAGCCTACAGGTCCTACCTCCCCCCACACTGAGACAGACTGTGGTATGAGTTTGAAGCCTGAGAACAGGTGTCTGCCATGGGAGGAGAGCTTCTGACCTGAGACCCACACCAAATCTCGAAGAGTCCTGGCCAGGGGTGGGCTCTGCACCTGCAGGCCATCCTGACTAGTCCTTCCCAGAGCCAGCAAGAACCAAATGACATCTCAGCCTTGAAAAACCAGCCACAGCTGTACAGCATGGAGCAGTTGACACAGACGATGCCTGGAAGAGGTGAGGTGGCAGAAAGGGCAGAGTGTGGGTTCCTTGGGAGAGCTTGGAAAGCTTGATGCTCCTGTCATGGAAGTTCACGTGGGTATTACTGACTGTATAGGATAGACATATTTTATTTTGTTAGCTTGACTGGGTGTGTGTGTGTTTATATCTATACACATGCATGTGTGTAGGCTCATGCATGCCGCAGAGCATGTGTGGAAACCAGAGAACGATTTGTAGATATTGGTTCTCTCCTGGGGATGGAACTCAAGTTGTCAGACTTGAAGACAGGTACCTTCACCTGCCGAGCCATCTTCCTGGCTCCATCCTTTCATAGAGAATATATTTTAGTATGCTTTAAAAGTGGTGCTAGAAACTAGAAATAGGCCTTTCCTGTGTCATCCCTTCTTAGCCCTGTTCTGCTTCTCAGCAACAGCCACTTGAGCATTTTTATCTGGGTACTCATTGCCATTTTTCTGAATAACATCTGTATATTGCTAATTTTTGATTTATCAAATGTTTACGCCTTCTATAATTCACATTAGGACTTTTTCTCTTTCTTAGAGAAATACGGTATTGCTGTGTAGTCAGTAGGGTTATTGGACAGTTAACCTCCTGAAAATTCCATCAGTCCTCATGCATAACTTTAGTGTTATGCGTACGTTTCGGAGGCTCTGGAGATTGATGTGGTACCCAACAGTTCTTGTGATGTTGCGGATCAAATTTCTCGAGGATCTTATAACATCTGGTCATAAAGCTCTCCACATTCCTTTGTCTGGAACTCTGAGCAAATCTGTTTGCTTCTCTTTCCTCAGCTTGTTCCCAGGACTCTGCACTTTGCCAGGAAGAAGAGGACATGACCAGATCTTTTGTACGTTGTGAACATAATTCCCCTGCATTGTTTTGCAGTACAGTTGTTGTGGGTTACTATAGTCTACCGCTAAGCTGGGTGAGACGGAATGAATGGAAGTGAAGAAAAATACAGAGTGAATAACTGAGAGCTGGGGGGGGGGGGAAGTACGGCTGTGGAGATCTGAGTGCTGCAGAGTTACTCGGGTTGGATTCAAAGTCAGATACTATGGAGAAACGTGAAGTGAACAGACATAAAATCTGTTCCATAACTTGTAGTTTCTGAGGAAAAAACTACTTAAGAAAAGCAAAAGCTTTTTGTTGACACTGAAACCAAAATATACATTCTAAAATAATTCCATGATTTTTCTTACTTTAAGCTCAATTTTTACAAGTAAGTCTTGGCTAGAGAAAAATTATATAGAATAGTATGTAAAACATGCCTACCACTTTTAAATAATCCTACTCATATGTTTTTTGTTTGCTTCTCAGTTTGAACTTTTGATAGCAAGTTAAACTAAATTATTTGGATATTTTGTGGCATCCTTGCAGTTCTGTTGTTTGTAGCCTTCCAATTCTCCCCCCCACACACATACTCCCCTCTCCCCTCTCTCTTAATAGTCTTAGAAAATGCGATAGTCTTTTATTTGGGGTTTTTTGTTTGTTTGTTTTGTTTTTGTTTTTTGAGATAAGGTCTTACTATGAAGCCTTGGTTTGTCTGGAGCTTGCTTGTAGAACAGGCTGGCCTCAAACTTAAAGGTGTTCTGCCACCTGCCTCTGCCGCTCAAGTGCTAGGATTAAAAGTATGTGCTGCTATGTCCTGCCAGAATAATTTTAAACATTTTTTCCTATATTTATTTTGTGTGGAGGGCGGGCAGCAGTATGTATGCTGCTGTGTAACTGCGCAGCTCAGAGGATGACTTGTTAGAGTTGGTTCTCCTTCAGCGTACGGGTCCCCAAGGCTGAACTCAGATCGCCGGGACTGGCGGCAGTGCCATTGCTCACTGCCTCAGTGCACTGGTCTTGAGAGTGCTCTCTCTCTATCTCCATTCTTGATTCTTTGTGTTTGAAGTTTTCATTCCTGTGGTTTGAACATTTTCTTCTTGGCTGCATTTTTCTTAAGCTCTCATCATTGTGAAGCAGACACACACTCCTTTTGCTATATGATCTAGAGCAGAGGTTCTCAACCTTCCTGATGTTGTGACCCTTTAATACAGTTCCTCATGTTGTGGTGACTCCCAACCATAAAATTATTTTTGTTGCCACCACATAACTAATTTTGCTACTGTTATGAATCAAAATGTAAATATCTTTGTTTTCCAATGGCCTTAAGTGACCTCTGTGAAAGAGTTGTTTGACCCCAAAAGGTTCACAGCTCATAGGTTGAGAACCATTGATTTAAAGGCTCATGAGACATTTTTCTCGTGTTGGCATAGTGTTTCTCTAGCCCTAAACAGAGTTAAAGTTGAGATGACCGGTGATTGTAAAGTGCATGACAGTGGATGGAGATGTCTCTTAATTTCTTTGTACCTCAGTTTCATGACCCAGATGGGAATAGTAATGGAAGGCATCCCATAAGCATCCAGGGAGTCAAGGGCACCAGTGCTCCAGAGTTGATTGCCATCACTTACTCTCCTCAGCTGTGGAGTCTCTCCTTCCTGGGCTGCCCTTCAGATGTGTATAACCTAGAAGATAGAGGAGAAGTTTGACTGACTGGGTTCATACATAGATTTTACTTCTTCAGTAAAACCACCATACCTGCTATGAGAAGGCAAAGCTAGGGATGTTTTCTTCATATCTATATATATACATGTATGTACATACATATCACAAACACTAATTCTCAAAAATCAATAATTAAGAAAAAATGGACAAAGAAAAAATTGGATCAAGAATTAGAGGAAATACAGGTGGCCACTAAATACTTAAAATTATATTATAAAAAGACAATTTAGGCTGGGCAGTGGTGGTACACACCTTTAATTGTAGCACTTGGAAGGCATGGACAGATAATCTCTTGAGTTTGAAGCCAACCTGGTCTACAGAGCAAATTTCAGGACAGCCAGGGCTACACAGAGAAACCTAAACCCTGTCTTGAAAAACAAACAAACAAAAAACCAAAATCCAAACGAGACAATTTAATAGAAGCAGTTTTTAGGTATATTTCCAATTAATAAACAGTAACCAGTTTCAGACTCACAGAATTAGGATATAGATGTTGTCCATGGCAGCTCTTAACTGTGTGTGACTAGATTACATGCCAGTTAGAAGACTCCTCTTCAGTACTGTCATAGCTTTGTGTTAGCCCACTATAAGCTACGGATAGCTTAATTCACGTAGCCATTATCAGAACGTTGTGGCAGATGTTATTTTAATTTTTATAGATAAAGAAAGTAAAAATAGGGTTAAGAAGCTTATACAGTCAGGTACCAGTGTGTAATAAACTCAGGTTCAAACCCTTGACTTTAGTGCGCACACTCTGTGTGGCCCTGAGTAAAGAAGTGCACAGGTTTGCCATTTGGCCTATCCCTATCATTTGTCCTTTTTATTTGTGCCTTAATGAGTCTGTGTTTCATTAAGTTAAAACACGTTACTTACTGTTAATTTTTATATATGTATATAAAGGGAGTTAACAAATTAAGAAAATAGACTAAGTTGTAACGCACTAATTGTACATCTTATACAGCCTGTCCTGGAATGTAGACTAGGTTGGCCTCCAACTCACAGAGATCTGTCTGTCTCTGCCTCCTGAGAGCTGGAATTAAAGGCATGTGCCACTGCAACCAGGCCAGTTTGTCTTTTTTGTTTTTTTATGATTTATTTATTATATATACAGTGTCTATCTGCAAGTATGCCTGCACACCAGAAGAGGGCATCAGATCTCATTTACGGATGGCTGTGAGCCACCCTGTGGTTGCTGGAAATTGAACTCAGGACCTCTGGAAGAGCAGTCAAAGGTCTTAACCTCTGAGCTATCTCTCCAGCCCTTAGTTTGTCTTTTTTAAATTTGTAATTTTTTAAATTTACTGTGTGGAGTGTGTGTGTATGTGGTGTAGGTGGATGAATATCTGTATGCCACAGGGAGCACACAGAGGTGATAGGACAACTTTAAGCATTGGTTCTTGGCTTCCACACGTTGAGCAAAGTCTCTTTTCTGCTGCTGTGGTGTGTACTCCAGGATAGCAATCCCACAAGCTTCCCCAGATTCTCTTATGTCTGCCTCCTATCTCACCGTAGTAGTGTTGGGTTACATGTAGTGATGAGACGAGCGGGCTGTGTCCCGCCGCCCGGCTAGCTTTACCCGAAATAATTACACAGAAACTGTATTAATTTAAAACACTGCCTGGCCTATTATCTCTAGCCTCTTCTTGGCTAACTCTCACATCTTAACCCATTTCTAATAAATCTACGTATCACCACATGACTGTGGCTTACCGGCAAGATTCTAGCCTATGTCTGTCTCGGGCCGGAGAGCCATGGCATTTGCCTGTCTCTGCTTTCTTCTTACCAGAATTCTTTTCTGTCTACTCCACCTATCTAAATTCTGCCCTATCTAAAAGCCAGTTTCTTTATCTGACCAATGAAAGTAACACATAGACAGAAGACCCTCCTACATCATTATAGGTGTGTACTACCACATCCAGCTTTTTGTATGGGGTCAGGCTTGCTCAGCCATCTCCCCAGTACTAAATTGATTTGTCTTTTATTAAATTTGCAAGAGTTTTTTTTTTTTTCATATCATGTCCAAGGAAACATGGCCTAACCTGATCTCTTGGTTTCTCTAGGCTCCATTGAATGAAGAATTATCTTGGACCAGACATTAAACACACAAACACTAATAAAAATGTATTAAAACCATGTATAGGGCAGATGAAAAGACTCAGCAGACAAGAGTTTGTTGTCATTATAGCTCGCGGTATATCTTGATAGAGTACTCTCTGTAGGTGGAAGTGTCCTGTCTCTGAGTCATTTCCCAAATTAGCACACAGAAGTTTAGTATTACTTATAAATGCTTGACCAATAGATCAGTCTTATTAAAGGAGTGGGTGTGGCTGCAGTGACTTGCTGCTGGCTCTGCCCCATTCCTTAGCTTCCTGAGAGTCTAATTTTGTATTAGATGCTGGCTGGAGTCACATTTACCACTCCAACTCTGGGAAGTTTGAGTCCACACTGCTTATATGTAGTGTGCCACCCACTGCTCATAAACCCCATGGAATTGTTTGGTGATAGGGCCTCTTAAAAGAGCCATGCCGTTTTTTGCTGCTAATGCTAAATCAGGAAGCCATGCCTCTGGTTGCTGCTAGCAAACAGAACCTATCCTAGAAAAAGCAGTTACTCAGAAGCCAAATTTGACTCCATTTTTTTTTTTGTATGTGTGTTTAGAATCATTTTTAAAGCTTTTTGAGGCTTTATGTGGAAATTCTTGCCTAACTTTTGGGTGCCATGTGTAGGTGGACGTTTCTGTCCCACAGGCAGCTTCCCAAATTACCACATAGAGGCTTAATATTACTTAGAAATTCTCAAGCAGTAGCTCAGGCTTATTATTAACTAGCTCCTACATTTTAAGTTAATACATATTCCTTATTTATGCTCTGCCACGTTATGGTATCTTTCTTATTACTGCATGCCCATCTTGCTTGCTCTGTGTCTGGCTGACATCTCTTTACTCTGCCCTTCTCCTTCCCGTCATCCTTAGTTTGGTTGCTCTGCCTTTATTTCTTATCTGGCTACTGGCCAGTCAGCATTTTATTAAACCAATTTGAGTTACAAATCTTTACATTGTACAAGATATTCCACAGCAGCCCTCCTGTCTCTATCCCTGAAACCCACATAGTGGAACTTAAAGTATCAAATGCTCATGATGTTCTCCACCATAGATAGACAGCAAAAGTAGTGCTCACATAGTCTTAATTATTTGGTGCCCCGCTCAAAGACGGTTAAGATCACCAAGCAGGTCCACTCGTGTTAGATATCTATAAGAAATAAAACTTCAGTGACAGGGTGTGCTTTTTATTATCAGTGTAAAAGAAGAAAGGGCGACTGACTCAAAACTACTGTGAGAAGCTAACACAGCGCTCTCTGCTTTGATGGATATTTTTGAAGGTCTCAAAGTGTTCATCAGATATTTTGTTCTAATTTTACTTAGTGTGCTTCATTCTTGAAAGTAGTTTCTCAGAAGCTAGAGAAAGCAGCTAAGAGTACTTGTTACTCTTACAGGGGACAGGTTTCAATTCCTAGCACCCACATGGTAACTCTGACGTCATTAATTTCAGTTCCGAGGGATCCAGCAGGCATGCATGTGCTGCATATACATGCGTGCAGACAAAACATTCATGAACATAAAATTGAAAATAAAATTATAAAAACAGAAGCCATTTATTTAGTTAAATTATAGTTTTGTTTTCATCAGTGTCTCCGGTAAAGGTGGCCCATAGAGCCACATGGGTAGGATCAGTCCTGCCACCTACTGCTGGAGCGTACAGCTTCAGACTAGCGGCTCTGATCTCCAGGCTTGTTTGACAGGCGTGCCAGTGTCTTCATTCACCTGGTGTAGTCTGACGAGACAGACTGACTTTAGAAATAGCCCTTTTTTCAGGCCTGAGCAACAGTCTCCCCATGTTGCCTAATGACTCACCCTTAGTAAATTGTCTGTCTTTGTTATTAGGTGTGCTGCCATGTGACTGACTAGCTTTTACAGTAGGATCCGAGATAGAACTTGAACATTATTTATTAGTGCACACAGAGGACAGCTTTTGGGAGCTGATTTTCCCATCCTACTGTGGGGGCTTGAACTTTGGTCATTAGGTTTGTATGACCAAAACAAAACAACAACATCAAAAAAAAACCAGAGTCATTTTCCCAGCCCTGAGTTGTAATTTAAAAATAAATGTTGAAAAGATGGGCTGTTTTCCATGCTACTATTTTCAGCCCAGAACACAGTACTTGAAAACCATGGAATTTGGCAACATGATTTGCATGTAATGCCTTTTATATAGTGCCTTCTTAAAGTCTTTGTACTTACATAGATTCCCTACAGAGTAATAAAAATGTAGTCACCTACTGTTTTTTGTTGAACAGTCTTGCTTGCTTCAGCTATAGCCTTTTTGTTGGTTTGTTTTGTTTTGTTTTGTGATGTTTTAAAAACACGTATTGGGGCTTAAAGGGGAGGTATTTACTTTCATTATGCAAATTAACAGGAAAATACAAAGCAGGGCTTTGACCCTCCCTGCTGTCATCTGGTGTGTAGCAGATTTGAGGTCAGCCTGGACTACAGGAGACCCTTTCTAAAACAATACAAATGACTCACTATCCTTGTTACATGCTCTCTTTAAACTCTAAGATTACTGATTGTATCTTATTCTTGATTTAGGTTTGACAAATGTTTGTTTAATTTATTGAAAATATTAAGGTATTAAGTTTTTACAAATAAGATACATAAGAATACAAATATATGTAAGTACACTTATAACCTTTTAAAGTGTAAGATTAATTTATTTTTACATTGTCAGTTTTTAAATACCAAGTATTTGCACTAAAGGTTTTCCTCCTTTGAGCATTTTACTTACTGTTTTATATCTGTGAGTGTTTCTTCTGCATGTGTGTCACCTGTGTGTGGTGTCCTGGATCTGGAGTTAAAGAGGGCTCAGAGTCCCATGTAGGTGCTGGGAAGTGAACGTAGGCCCTCAGAGGAGCAACCAGTGTTCTTAACTGCTGAGCCATCTCTCCTCTGTCCCAGCTGAAGGGTTTTGTTTTTGTTTATTTGTTTGATTTTAATTATTCCTTCATTCCCTCAGTCTAAAATCTCTTTTAGTTTTCATTTTGAGATCAGGTTTACCTACATTGTCCAGGTTGGTCTTTATCTTGGCTTCATGTGTAATTACAGAGATAGGTCAAAATCTTCAGTAGTCTTGTGAGCCTTTAATGAGCTTGGTCCAATTTTGGGCAACAGCAGCAAGAATGTTTTATGTGTGCATTTGTGATGCAATGACTACACCCCAAATGACTACCGCACCAAAGTTTTCCACGTCTGGTTTATCAGTCTTCTCTGCCAGTTCAGACTGTGTGCTGCAACACTCAGCTTTCAGAGATGAGTACATGTTTTCCATGAAGCCCCGGCAGTAGGTTTTCAGGTCCAGGAGTTCTTGAGTGTCCAATTGACATCTTAAATTGCATTATTTGTGGCATTCAGAGACCCTTCCCTCTGATTTAGAGAGAAAGCATTGCATGATGGGTAAAAACCTGTAGCTCTGCAGCCACATCGCTTGAACTAGAATCCTGGCTCATATCCCTATGAGAGCCTTGTGATGGGTGCATTACTTTTAGCTAAGGTACTCTTGCGTTTTAAATACTGTTAATACCTACGCACAGCCTTGTCAGGAAATTTTTAAAAGTTAATATGCACCTGGGTGTGGTACTGATCGCCTTTAATCCCAGCTCTCAGGAGGCAGAGGCAGGTGGATCTCTGAATTCCAGGCCAACCAGACTTACACAGCAAAACTGTCTCAAAACAAAATAAAGTTAATATGCCAAGAGAAATTCCAACATTGCCTCCCATGTCTTAACTATGCTGTAGATGATCGTAATGCCAGTGCAGTGCTGACGGCAGGAATAATCTAATTCCTAGAAGCCCAGCCCTTTTGTAGTTGTCATTTATGTCATCACATTTTACTGCTGAAGAAATTCTTCCCAAAGATTGGCTATGAGGATGCTTTTCTTTCTTACAACAGATTTCTCAAACAAAATATTTTCCCTTTTTACTTGGGTATTAGACATTTTAAATAATTTAAAAGCAAGAACTAGTCATCAAGTTGCTTTCTTTTCCAGAAATACTTCATTTGTTTTTTATTTCCATTACGCTATTATCATAGTATTATTTCTAATATGTTCATTGTAAATTAAAACTTGTGTCTCTTTCTTGAATATTTCATTTGGTTTTCTGTAGTCCTGTTAGCACAATATTACATGTTTCTTTAGCCATTCACACTCACTGGCCATGGAGTTAGCTTCCAGGTCTAGGTTGTGACTCACACGTTCTCTTCTTCCATCCTGTGTCTGACTTCATTTTATCTGGAAGTCTACTAGGAATTCAAATATTCATGCCTTTTCTTCTTACCTGCTTCTTTCTCTCTTCCTTTACTCTGCCCAGTTCCCTTTCTCACTAAAACCTAACCACTGTCAGGTCTGAACTACTTACTCATCCCTGTCACAGTAAAGAGTCATTGGGTGCTGCTGTCAGCTAGTAATGGAGGATGGAGAGTGCTGGCTGAGTCAGTGATCACAGACTCTAGAGGTGCTGTCACTGCGGTGCATTACCCCGTTTACACGCGGACACTTGGTTAGGGTGAAGACTTCAAAACCAATTTTTAACAAGCTTTGACCCTGTTTACTAGCTAATGAATTCTTACTTGTTTTGATCACAGGCCCTAATTTTGATGACTTTAGATTAATTGGGATTATGTTTTTTATAGAAAACAGTGACATTCGAGGATGTGGCTGTGGACCTCACCCAGGAGGAATGGCAGCAAATGAAACCTGACCAGAGGAGTTTGTACCGAGATGTGATGCTAGAGACCTACAGCAACCTAGTAACCGTAGGTAAGGGAGCTGTCTACTTACCGTGGACTTCCTCCCAATGCAGTGTGTGCCTCGCCTGTGCTCTGACCTTGAGGGTTGATACTAATAACTGTGTCCTTGTGCAAGTTCCTTGATTCTCCTCCTTCCTGCTTCCTCAGGACCCCAGGACTCAGCCCCAGATCTGTATGATTGTCTCCAGCACTAACATGCAAGGTCTTTCCTGTTTCTGTAATAGGTGGTCCAATCCCCAAACCAGATGTGATCTTGAAGTTAGAGCAAGAAGAGGAGCCCTGGGTGGTGGAGGAAGAGATGTTCTGGAGCCGCTCTGCAGGTGAATAAGTGAGAAGTAGCTCTGAGTGTGAAAGCCGCATGACAGTTGTTCAGTGAGGATTGCTTCCATTTCACATTTCCCAAGACTGTGTTGTCTGTAAATGACAAAGGCTATGTGACGTACTGTTTGTTAGGTTGTGTGACATTTCTATTCTAGGAATGACTCTGCCCTATTGGAGTTATGTTCTTTAATTTTTTGAGGGGCAGTAACCTATGTGATTTCAGTATATGGGCGTATTTACAGCTTACCTTTATGATTTTTGTATCTAAGTTTGATCTTCACCCCCTCCCTCATGTTCATAGTTTATTTCCTTACATATTCAGCATTTCGTGGAGTGTGACATTTTAAAATCAGCTTTATTTTATACATGGGTTTCCTTTAATTTTTGGCTTCACTAGCCCCATGGTTTAGAAACTTTAAGTTCCTAGCTTAGGAATGCTGTGGTGGCCTCTTCCTGCTTCCTCACTTCTTCCCTTGAATGTTTTGAAAATAGAGCATTTGCCTACTAGGTTAAAAGTGGAACCATCCAGAAGATACATTTAAACAGTGTCCTTTGTTTCTGCTGTTGCATTCACTCTTGTCTTCAGAGCTCTTGTTTATTGTGCATGTATGTTATAGATTTACCTGTCTTATTTGGAGGAAACCATACTGAATTTTCCTAGGACTGTGCTGGACTTAGGAGTTAATTTTAGCAGTTTGTCAAGCTCTTGTTTTCTTTCTATCTACTTTGAGAAATGGAACTTTCTAAATTTTCTTTTGTAGATCATGTAAATTGTTTGTTAGGTTTACCAAAGCTTTTGACAAGAAAGAAAAACAAGTTCTTTTAGAACTAAAGAGGGATGCTGGGTGGTCGTGGCACATTTGAATTTACAGATACTGTATCCCTGAAAAATGCTAGAACCAACTGAAAAAGTATGACACATTGTACAAGAGTCCAATGAGGTGCTAGGAATGTCTGTAACACATACAAACCAGCTTTCATAAATATTTCACAACTAAGTGGATATAAATGAAAGAATGAACATTATAGTAATAGCGGTAAAGAGAAAATACTGTTTGGAGCATGGGCATGTAACTACACAAAACAAAATCTACATGGAGCTTAGAATTTAGGGGATTTTTGTTGTTTGTTTTCTTTTGTTTGGATGATTTTTTGGTTTCTTTGTTTTAAGGGTGAATCTCTAGAGAACCCCATGCTGCCATTGAAATTCCTTGAAGTTGTGATTCTTCTGCCTCTCCCATTCGAGTGTTGTGTTTTTGGGGTGCTGGGGATCAAACCCAGGGCTTTGTCCATGCTGGGCAAATACTATACCAACTGAGCCACATCCCCAGCCCAACTAGAGAAATGACTCAGCAATTACAGAGGACCTGAGTTTGGTTCCCAGCACCCACATGGCAGCTCACAGCCATCTGTAACTCCAGCCCCAAAGGTTCTGAAACCCTTTTCTAGTTTGTTGGGTACCTATGTGCATGTGGTACACATACATACATTCCAATGCACATAAAAATATTAAAGATATCATGAAAATACCTTTTTAAACTATTATATTTGACAAGATTGTCTGTATCTAAAAATTTTAAGCCATGCTCTCTTTCCCAAAGGCTTACTGTATTTTCTGTGAGCTTTAGGCAATTCTGTGTTATTTTCTACTTTTAAATATTGTTGGAAAAGAAGCTTGGTTGCTTTGTGTCACAAATTACTTGTTCTGTTTGCCCATACAAGTAAACCAGGGTTTACAGGTGAAGGCTGCTTTGTTGTATTTTCTGTAAGGCTCTAGAAGTCTTGCCAACTATGATCAGTGTTTCCTTTTGACTTGTGGTTCTTCCGTCCTTTGTCTGTTTGTTTGCTTTGTTTCTAGTGTTAGGAGTCAGCTTCCCCTTGTGTATTCTAAGCACAAAACACCAAATATTTTCCCCAGCCCAAAGATTCATGGTTTTGCTTTTTATGCTGTTATATAGATTTGATAGTGGTCCTTTTTTGATTATCATTGTCCATCTTTAAATGGAGGTATTTTCTACTGGATCCACTACAAAAAGGAATAAAAAATGTACTGAGCTAATAATAGGAAATCTTTGTGCTTCGTAGTGACCATGCAATCAGGTTCAAAGTTGGGTTATCCATTGCCCCAAGCTGCAGAGATTATCATTTTCATGCTTCCTTTGGTGTTCAAAGTCCCGCTCACCGTCCTGTGCCAATAGTCTATTAAAGTAGAATAAGGTTTATCTGCATCTGCTTACTCAACTGTGCCTTCCTTGCCATTTGTCGGGACCAAGTGAAGTCCACTAGGTTCCTTCTACCAATGTCAACACACCTGGATCTCAGAGTTGCATGACACGTCTACGTTTTGCAGGACTCTCTTCCCTGTATATCTCATCCAAAATAAGAAATAGGTCTTGACTTCTGGGATTCTTCTCTACCTTGACCAACCCATTTTCTGTTTTTTTCCTTATATTCTGGAGTTAAAGTTTTATTGAAGATGTATTTATTATTTTGTACTCTGTAGGGTAGTGGAGACAGGTGTTTATAACCACCATAAGCCTGGGAAGGCCTGTGTTTATCAATCCCAAGGCCATTTTGTGCTTGGTCTGTGACATACTTGAAACACCCTGTGTTCCCTTGTGCAGCATTGCTCGGTAAGCTTCCTGCTGACCTCTCCCCGCTGTATGATAGCTTTCTGCTGCTTTGTCCCCTTTCCCCAGCATCCATATAGAAGATGCTCCACTGCTTAATAAACGTCCTTAATAAACGAGCCATCAGCTTACACAGTCCTCCTGACCCCAGCTTTTTGTCCTCTTACGTTCTCATTCCTGCTTTTCCCCCTTGGCACCACAGTTGAGGTTTAAAGCAGGGACGGCACTGCAGAGGTGTGGAAACCATAGGATGAGCTGTTAGCAGCTGCAGCCAGAAAACCAGTGAGTGGAGATGGTTGGCTCTTGATCGCTTTATACCTTAATTGGAAATGTGGCTTATTCATTAAGCATATATAAAAATAAATTATAACTAGATAGTTGACATTCTCTTCATATTTACTAAAAGTTTTGGATTGGAATTCAGTTTGGACAACCTGAATCTTCAGCTGCTTTCATAATTATTACTTTATGAAACTAATAGACTTTGGGTATATAGAATGAACAGATTTACCAGGATTCTATGATAGTTCATGTAGGCAAAAGTAATGAGAACTTGTGGTTTCATGTTTCTTGATCTAATGGAGATGTTGTTTTCCTTTTATATAGTTTATTTCAGTATGTGTGTATGTGTTTGTGCACATGAGTGTGAGGGACACAGGACAATATCATCCTCAGAATTGCTATCCACTTCATTTAAGACAGAGTGTGTCATTGGCCTGGAACTTGCCAGTAAGGCTAAACTGGCTGGCCATTGAGCTAAAAGGATCCTCCTGTTTCCATGTGAATGTTGGGAATTGAACTTGGATCCTCCTGCTTGTAAGGCAGGCACTTTACCAACTAAGCTATCTCCTTGGCCTGATTTCTCTGTATTTTAATATGCATTTTTAGTTTTCTCCAAAGTAATACTTGCAGTTGTTTCAAGAAAGTCACTAGAAATACAGATCTTGCCAGCCTGGTCTATAGAGTGAGTTCCACAACAGCCAGAGAAATCCTATCTCAAAAAAACAAACAAACAAAAAAACCAAAAAAAAAAAAAAAAAACCAAATTTTATAGTGGTATCCTATTCTAGCCTTATCTTTCACCTCCTTTGGTGAAATAATTTTTTAAAAAGGTAATGAAGATTTTCGTGCTTTTTTGAGTACTAGACTTTACTGGTTAGATCAGAACCCAGAAGTTATGTTAATTGTCCCAAGTACCAGTATCTATAAGTCTTTTATTTCTAAACGTTCTCATGTCCTACCTGGAGGTACAGCCTTTAGGACACTAAGGGTTGGAGGTCTCACAATTCAGTATATAAATGTTCATATAATTCCTACTTTTTTGTTAATGTGTATCCTTCTATATCTGCTTGCTTCTAAGTCTAGAGTATCTTTGGTTCATTTTCTCTAGAAATAAGCCTTTTTCTTGCCTGGGTTGTAAAGAACCAATCGTGTTCTTGTATAGATAGTTAAGTGGTAGTATAGTCAAGTCCAGTTATAGCAAAGGAGATGTAATAGCTGCTATTTAAGGATGTGTGAGGACATTAGATGGCTCACAGAGCTTGAGAAGGACTAAAGGGGCTGTAGTCTGTGCATTTCCAGGAGTGAGTCACAATGGGTGTCTATAGGAGTGAACTGTTGAAGGCGTTCTCGGAAAATAATCAAGGAAGTACTTGCAGTTGAACTGAAGAAGTGCTTTCCACTGTGAGTGGTTGCTGCCTGTTTTGGTCTCCTAAAAAAATGTCCATCTAGTCACTTAGTTCTGAATCTAATGTTCATGTGTGCAGGTGACAGTTCTGTCAACCGCATGTGAACCCTACATGCAGTTGTGCTTAGGAAAGGTAATTTGAACTGCTTCATCCTTTTTGGAAGATTGCTAAGCATCTTGTGGTTGGAAGAGATGTTATTATAACTTAAGCAAATCTATATCGTCTGTCTTGGGGGTCTAATTGCTCTTATTCAGATTTTAAAATCTCTTGTTTTTAGTGCAAGTTTTGTCCTATCTTTTTCTTTAAAATAATAATAAACTTAGATTTTTTTTTTTTAATTTACTGGGGCAGATATCAAGGAGCATGGTTGCTGAATCATATGTAAAAGTATTATTTAATTTTGCTGCCTAGCGAGATGGCTCAGGGCGTTAAGGTACTTGACTGTCAAGCCTGACAGCCTGGGCCCAATCCCTGGATCCACATTATGGAAGTAAAAACTGCCTCCTGCAAGTTGTCCTCTGACTTCCGCATGCCCCTCCCTCAAATAAATAAACAAGTAAATACAAAGTAGCAAAAAATTATTTTAAAATATATTTAATTTTGAAAGAAACTTCTGGATTATCTTTATAGTGAATGTAGCATCTTGATTCCCAGCAACAGTGTCTGTGAGTCCCTACTGTGCATCCTTGTCAGCCTCTGGAGATGTCCGTGTTTAAGATTCCTGTACTAGCTGCTTAGTGTATGCCTTTGATGTTTTAATTTGCAGAAACCTCCCCAATCGCATACAGTGTTGAACATGGTTGCATATGCTTAGTGACCACGTCTTTATATTTCTTTAAGTAAGGCTTTTGTCCAGGTTCCTGTTTATTTGTTTTACTGGATGCTTTGTCCTGGGGGTAGGGGAATTTCTTTGTTATATGGCAACCGTGAGTTGCCATATAACCCTGGCTGTCCTTGATCTTCCAGTCTTTCTGCTTTGGCCTCCAAGTGCTGGAATCACAGACATGTACAGCCACACCTGGCAAGGTTTTGTTTTTGTTTTTAATGTTAAAGTTTGTGTTCTCTGCATATGTCAGTGATCTTATCACATATTTCTTCTGCAAGTACTTAGTATTCTAGCCTTATCTTCTCGCTTGCTTGATGGAGTCTTTTGTACAGAGGGAGTTTTTAAATTTTCCTGAAGTTCAGCCTACTTTTTCATTGATCAGGCCTTTTTCTTGTCCCCGCTCTCTCCAGCCCACCACCGCAACCCAGACTTTGTCCTGTGTTATCTTCTATTAGTTTTAGAATTTTGTGCTTGACACTTAGCTCTCTGGTTTGAGTTACTTTTTGTGAAAACTTTGTATCTAGACTGTTTTATTTGATGCAGATGTTTAGTTATAGTGACTCTGTTTGTTGAAAAGGCTATCTATGACTATTTCCTTTGCTCCTTTGTCAAAGATTAATTGACGATATTTAAAGGCTATCTATGACTATTTCCTTTGCTCCTTTGTCAAAGATTAATTGACGATATTTATTTGATTCTGTTTTCTAAGTTCTTTATCCTGTTCCATTGTTGTGTTTGTCTCTTCCACTGCTTCCAGACCATATGATTGTTAGAACTTACTAATAGTCTTGAAGTCAGGTGGTATCTGTCTCACTGTCTTTCTCCTCTAATACTGTGTTCTCTCTTCTTGGTGTTTGACCTCCATGTGAGCTTTAGAATCAGTTTGTCTCTGTATGAACAGAGTAAAGTACAAAATGAGATTACTTTGAACCTGGGAATCTAATTAAGAGCTAACATGCTGAATGCTGAATCTTCCTATCATCACTATTCAGTATCCACTTATTCTTTAATTTTAGTAGTCAGAGTTTATAGATCATGTACATCTGTTATTAGATTTGTATTTCTTTTGAGCAATACTAATATAAATAGTGATGTATTCTTAATTCCAGATCCTGTTTGTTTGTTACTGATAAGCTATTTAGTTTTGCATGTTTACCTTGTGTCCTGCCACCTTTTTAATGATTGGTCACAACAGGTTTTAGTTGTTGATTCTCTTAGATTTTCTGCATGGATGACCACGTTGTCTTTGAACAGTATTAATGCTGCTTTTTCTGTCCCTCCGATTTGTACTTCTTTTATTTCCTGTTCTTATCTAACTGTATTAGCCAAGAGCTCAGTGTGCTGTAGAAAGGTGGTCATCTCATCCTCATGATGCTTTTGCTGTAGCATGTTACATGTGCTCTCCAGCCAACAGTGCTCTGACTGTGTTCATCGTGTACAATCGTCTTGAAATCTTTTGTCTGTTGTATATTCCTTCCTATTTCTCTTACCTTTAAGCTCTAACCTATTTTTGGAAAGGAGGAGAAGTATACTTACACATTTAGTCTGGCCCACTGTTCTTAACCACAAATACTAATTTTATTTTATTGCTACTTGACTCCTTATCTAAGTCCTTTATGTGTTTACCCTTTCATTTTCATTCCATTCATTGTGCTGATTTCTTCATTATTGTATATCCTTGTATAGAATCAGTGCTACTTAGATCTACAAATGTCAGGTTGTTGTTTTCCCATAATATTGTCTGTAGGTGTTAACTTCATCTCTAAGAACTAGGGGGCATTGCAGTTTAGTTTCTTTTTTATTGGTGACTAAACCCAGCTGTAAAGATTCAACACCACATTAGCAAATTTCTAAATTGTTATGAATAGTTTAGTGATAGAAAATTTCACAAGTAATGATTTTTGGTCCTCCATTTTAGAAGTTTGGGAAGTTGATGAACAGATGGAGAAACAACAGGAAACACTTGTGAGGAAAGTCACATCCACCTCCGAGAAACCTCTGATTAAGGAAAATGTCATTGACTGTAAAGAGGTTGCAGAAATCTTTCTTCTGAGCTCAGATGTTGTTCCTTCAAGACAAAGCCTCTATGATCGTGACTCACTTAATAAGTGTTTGGAACAAAACTTAGATATTCTTAGTTATAATAAGGTTTGTGTAAGAGTCAATAACTTTGAATGTAATAAGTATGGGGCTCCGTTTTATCATTGCTCACCCTGTGCCATAGCTCCCTTTAATTGTGATCACTGTGGACAAGACTTCACTCATAAACTTGACCTCCTCAGACATGAGAGAAATCATGCTGGAGAAAAACCTTATGGATGTAAAGAGTGTGGAAAGTCCTTTAGCAGGAAGGAAAATTTCATTACGCATCAGAAAATCCATACTGGGGAAAAGCCATATATGTGTAAAGAATGTGGAAAAGCTTTCATTCAAATGTCTAACCTCATTAGACACCAAAGAATTCACACTGGGGAGAAACCTTACGCTTGTAAGGATTGTTGGAAAGCTTTCAGTCAGAAGTCAAATCTCCTTGAACACGAGAGGATTCACACTGGAGAAAAACCCTATGAATGTAAGGAATGTGGGAAATCCTTCAGCCAGAAGCAAAATCTTATTGAACACGAGAAAATTCACACTGGGGAGAAACCTTATGCGTGTAATGAGTGTGGTAGAGCTTTCTCTCGAATGTCCTCTGTTACTCTGCACATGAGAAGTCACACAGGGGAAAAGCCCTATAAATGTAATAAATGCGGAAAAGCCTTCTCTCAGTGCTCAGTATTTATTATGCATATGAGAAGCCACACAGGTGAGAAGCCTTATATATGTAATGAGTGTGGGAAGGTCTTCTCGCAAAGTTCTTCCCTTACTGTACATATGCGAAATCATACTGCTGAGAAGCCCTACGAGTGTGATGAGTGTGGGAAAACCTTCAGCCGGAAAGAGAATCTTATTACACATCAGAAAATTCATACTGGAGAGAAACCTTATGAATGTAATGAGTGTGGGAAAGCTTTTATTCAGATGTCAAATCTCATTAGACATCAGCGAATTCATACTGGTGAGAAACCCTATGCATGTACTGTATGTGGGAAAGCCTTTAGCCAGAAGTCCAATCTTACTGAGCATGAGAAAATTCATACTGGAGAGAAACCTTATCTTTGTAGTCAGTGTGGAAAAGCCTTTAGTCAGAGACAAAATCTCCTTGAACATGAAAAAATCCATACTGGAGAGAAACCATTTAAATGTAATGAGTGCAGTAAGACCTTTTCTCGAGTCTCATCCCTTACTCTTCATATGAGAAGTCACACGGGGGAGAAACCTTATAAATGTGATAAGTGTGGAAAAGCCTTTGCTCGATGTTCATTACTTACTATACACATGAGAAGTCACACAGGTGAGAAGCCCTTTGAATGTAATACATGCGGGAAGACCTTTGCTCAGAGAGCATCCCTTTCCATACATAAGAGAGGTCATACAGGCAAGAAACACTCTGTACTAAATGAGGCAATGCCTTATCTATGCAATGCCTTATTTACTTGAAATGTCTGATGTAAGTGCAAAGCGAAGATCTCTTTGGAAAAATAATAAAACTTTGGAGTTTATGAGCAAATGCAGAGAAATATGTATATAGATAAATACAGCGTAATAAAATTTTCAATTCTGAGAATCTGTAGATAATACAGTTCCAAATAATTGCATAATATTTTTCTATAATATTTACAAAGTGATACTAAAATTTACATGAAATAGAAGTGTAAACCAGGCATAGTGATGTTTGTCTAAAATTCCAGCATTTGGATGACAGGAAGATTGCCACAAGATTGAGGCCAGCCTGGTCTACATAGACTGTGTCTCAATAAATAAATAAAAGTCCATGAATTGCTGAGATGATTTTAGAAAAAGAATGGTATAAACATACTTATTGTAATCTTTATACTGTGGAGATGGAGTCAAGGGAATCTAGAGTTTGAGGTCAGCTTGTGCTACATAGTGAGATCCTATCTCAAAACAAAACAAAAGTATAATCCTAGTAGTACCTAGACTAGCACTCTTTATAATGTATGCTAAATTTATAGCCACTTCAAAGTGTATAGTATAGGAACATAATTAGGTGGGTGCACAGGTTATAGAGTGCTCAGATGCAGAGCTGTGGAAATATGTGAACTCGGTGTTTGTCAGAAATGAAATTATGAGTTGGCAAAGAAAGAATAATCTAGTCATTTGTTTCTGGAATGTTTGACTATTGGAGAAAATTAAAGTATAAACATTACTGCAAACTATAAACACTTCCAAAGGATTTGACCTTGAAACCATTGGATGCTGATGAGTATGATGCACGTATCCTAGTGCTTGGGAGGATGAGGAGGTCAAGGCCAGCTTTGACTTTAAACTGAGGTAAGCCTGAACTACATAAGACTATCTTTAAAAGAAAAGAAAAAAACAGACTATTTGTCTATAACTCGAAGTCAAAAGAGTCAGTTTTGAAAAAGTAAAAAGATACAGTTCTAGTTCAGATTATTTTCATTTCTATCAGAGGCTCTAGAAACTTGTAAATAATGAAGAGGAAATACATGCATATGAATTGAAAACCTGGACGCCCAGCAGTGGGCTAATAGAGTACAACCTATCCCAAGGGTGGAGTGGTGTGTAGTAGTTAAAACAAGGAGATTCATAGTGTGTAGCAGAGGTAGTTACCTAAAACAGCGTGGAGTGAAAAATAAGATGCCGTGCACCATACTGTTTACTTTATCCATGTAAGTCTCAGTGAAACCCTTTACAAAGAATAGAACTGGGTTTTTGAAATTCATTCACTAGAAACTGGTTTTAGTGAAATTTTTATATATGTATGTATATAAAGTTATTTAAAATTGGTTAGAAAGATTCATGCTAAGACCTTTTTAGTTTTGTCTGTCACAAGACATTGGGACTGAATGTGGGGAGGGTGTTCTTGGGAAGCGGCCTTTTTTGTCTTTAAAGAGACTAGTAGAACATAAAATAAATCTTAAAAGTTAGTGACACATGGTAGTAATATGACTTGTCTTTTTTTTATAATATCAAAATAGAACAATTCATACAAGACACCTGAGTAGAGACTCCCTTTAAGCAAAGAAGCCATGACACGCAATGATTCCTTTTTCCTCCCAGGTGATGGTGGTGTTTCCTAGTTATTCTCATATCAACTCGCTAAGAGAAACTTGTGCCTGTTAAAAAAAAAATCTATAAATATGGGATTCACATGCTCTTTCAGATGCTGAACCATTTTATCTGAAATATTTCCATATGCCTCCCAACATCCCAGAGCCAACGCAGAGGGATTAAGATTTTGAAATCATTCTGCCTCCATAGTGAGACCCTGACTCAAAAAACAAACTTTGTCTTGAGGGAACAAATTAGTTGGTAAAGCCCATCATCTCTTCCAAACATGAGTACCTGAGTTTGATTCCCCCCATCAAAAAAGATAAGGTTTAGTGGTTCACAATTGTAATCCCAGCCTTGGGGAGAGACAGTCAGATCCCTGAGCCCTGCTAGCCAACTAACCTAGCCTATTTGGCAAATTCTAAGCCAGTTAGAAATCCTTTGCCCTGCTTCCCCAAAATGAATGGCTCCTGAGGAATAACACCCAAGGTGTCCTGTGACCTCTCTGACCTCCATACAGATGTGCACACACTGAATACACACAAATACACATACCCACACAATCCTTAGAATGGTACTATATACTAAACATTTGAAGTTAGTGTGTTTTATTCTTTGATATTTTAACATTTAACATTTTTGGTATTTGGATTCATCTTTCAACCAGTGATGTATTAAATCCAAGTAAGTTTTTATTGTGGCATTGGAAATATAAACTCAACATTAATAGATGTACAATTGTTATTTTCTTTGACAAAGTGCTAAGTAAAGTGATCGTTTATTTGGACAGCTGCTCGACCCTGAGCCATATATATCCAATCTTTTATTAAATTCATCTTTGAAGCAGTGATGTCTTAGGTTAAGGAAATCTGTATCATAAGTTATTTACTTATTCGTTTGAGGCCAGGTCTCATGTTTCCCAGTCTGTCTTCAACTTGCTTTGTAGCTAAGGATCAGTTTGAACTTCTGATCCTCCTTCCTTGCCACCTCCCACATGGCTGAGAATATGCACCACCATGCCTTGCTTATGAATTGCTGATTCTTAAACCCAGGGCTTTAACTGAGCCACATCCTTAATCTAAATTATCCGAAGTTTGAAAATCTGAAATTGGTGTAATGAGAAATGTGGTTTTTATTTCTTTGTGATGTTTTTGTATGTATGTGTGTAGTACTCGGAATTGAAACACTGCTCCTTCTCACTACGTCCTCACCTTTGCTTTTCTCAGACAGGTTTTCATATGCAGCCCAGCATTGGCATTGAGCTCTGATCCTTCTCCCTCAGCCTCCCAAAGTATTGAGCTCATAGGCATTGCTGCTGTGCCCAGCTGAAAAGGTGTTTTATTACTAGTACATACCCCTCTCTCAGTCTGCCGTTATTCCACCAAGGATTTGCTAGGCTCTTAACTAATTACTAATGTCTTTAGCATCTTACAGAAATAATAAGATGTTCTAGGGAATTTGCTTTGTGATATTGGTGTTCTAACTCTGTGAACTTGCATATGGTTAACATAAACATTAATTTCATTGTTAATATATTTTGAAATGAGAAGCCTTTTTTATTAGGTGGCTATACACAATTTATTTGTTCAGTCTTAAGCTGCAACCCATTTACATCCTTTCAAAACCATTGACTTACAGGCTTATCTAGTTTTGGTTGAAAGCAGTGAAGACCCCAAATTCTGAACAATGTTCTCTAAAAGGTCCTCATTCTCCTAACATAGAAGATAATCTTTAAGATAAGTTTTAAATTTTTTGTCATCTTTACAGTATTATTTGATGAGCAAAAAACCACTAATGCATTTTTTTTTTTGTTTTTGTTTTTTTTGAGACAGGGTTTCTCTGTGGCTTTGGAGCCTGTCCTGGAACTAGCTCTTGTAGACCAGGCTGGTCTCGAACTCACAGAGATCCGCCTGCCTCTGCCTCCCGAGTGCTGGGATTAGCGTGCGCCACCATCGCCGGGCACTAATGCATTTTTTTAAAGACAAGAATTAAGGGTGTTGGTCAAAGGGGTCTTTAGATTTTATATTTGAACACTAATTTGTTTGAAGTTGACTTCACATAAGTAAAAATCTCTTTTGGATAAAAATTATTAAACATAGCTATAACAGTTTGTACTGTTATGGTACTTTGAATGTTGGACAGTAGCTTGTCATAAATAGGGATTAATTTTAATGGAAACAATGTTTTACTAAAATATTAATAAAGAATTATTATCATTCTATATATTTTGTTTTTTGATAGGCTTCATGCTAAGTCTAGTTTTGTGAGCATACTTAATATTTATAGATGTAAAAATAATTTTCAAATTTATACATTGCCAACATAAGAACCCTATGTAAATATTCTCAGTTGTAATGCATTTGTTTTTGTTTGATTTTTTTTGTTTTGTTTGTTGTTTTTTGACTAGACCCTTTTTTTTTTCTCCCATTTTTCTATTCTTGTGTTTTTCTTTTTTACATTGGGCCTGTATTTCGTACGCTGCATACAGTTGTGTAAGGTGTATAAAATACAAGCCTCTGCTGCCTCTTCCATTTACATGGATTTGAAGTAAACAGAGTTATTTTTCAACTGCAGGTAGGAAGGCCCTCCTTAGGGTCCTCTTTGGTCCTCCCCTCCCCCTAGTAAGACTGACTAAAATCAATCAGTGAGGTGAAGTGCCTGGTTATAAACTGAATATGGGGTCTAAGGGGGGATTTCACTGATTGTGATTGTTTACCAGGGAGCAAATGATCTGTCCTCTGTAAATTCACACTCGCTTCCTCTGCCTTAAATGTTGGGACCAGAGCTATACCAGTAGAAGTGAATTCACTATGATCTTCTCATGTGAAAGATGAGAAAAACATAAAGCTCTTGTGCTTTCTTGGTGACCATGTGGGGTGTACTTAGATGTCAGCCCTTTTGAAGTACCATGGGGAGTGTTGTCTATAACCAAGCTCTACTCCCTATGCAGAAGACTTTCAATTTTATCTATAGGAGAAAAGAGCATGTGGCTACTTAAACACCCTGTTTACCAAAGACAGTAAAAGAGATAGTTGTGCTTCTGAAGGCTGCGTGCTAGGACTCAGGGCAGTACAGTGTGAGACTGAATAAAATGATAGAGTGCACTTCGGAGCACCACAGCTGTAGGCGGGGCCGCTATACAAAACAGAGTTAGGAAGCAGGGCATGGTGGTGCACACCTTCAATCCCAGCCCTTGAGAGGCAGAGGCAGGTATATATCTGAATTAGAGGTCCACCTGGTCTCCAGAGTCAGTTCCGAGACAACCAGGGCTGCTACCCAGAGAAACCCTGTCTGGGGGGAGCAGAACTATGAGATAGACCAAGATCTTAGTAGATGAGAGGACCCGCAAGATGTAGACGAGACTCAAACCAGCTGCCAAACACTAAAATAGTCAAGCATAGTTACCTTAGTTTGCACTACATTCTTGGACGGATGTATTTTTAACATCAGAAGGCATGTTAAAAAAAAAAGGCAAGGAAAGTAGACTGCGTGCACGAGGGCAAGCACAGAACCAGGCTCACGTTTGGCACAGGTTTGTAAGTAAGACGGTTAAGTATGGTTGAAATGTTAAGGAGTGTTGTAGAAAGCATAGTCAATATGCAAGCAGACAAGTAATGTAAGAAAAGAAATGGATACATTCCAAAGGCTCAAGAGGAAACAGTAGGAAAGACATCTCTGATATGTACTGAACACAGCCAAGGAAGATTCAGGAAGTTGAAAATTTCAGCTGAAATTTCTCAAACTAAAATGCAACTCATAGTAACTGAACTGAAGATCAATTAAGAAGATGTCATTGTCACTGCAGTGTCAGAAGGAAAAGATAGATATGTTGACAACTAATGGCTGAGACTTCAAAATCGATAATGATAATCACAAAAATCGCAGATCCAGTAGGTTCAAAGGAACACCAAGCAGATTAAATATGAAAACTACCCGTGTATACCATATTAAAACTGCAAAAAAGACGAAGCAAACCTTGAAAGAAGTCAATGGGGAGGGCTTTTCAAAGACCTTCCTGTTGTAATGTCTTATGGTTTCATTTTGTATTGTTACTATTCCTTAGAAGAAGGGTTGAGAAGCATTGGGTTTCTCTTCAGAAACCATGCATACAAGTAAAGTAATGTGTTTTTAAAGTCTGAATTCTATAGTGAAGTGATTAAGATGGAAAAAAAAATGTTAAAACTGACTGAGAGCTAGACACCGAAGGAAACCTCTGTCCTGGTTTCCTGAGGACAAGGCCTCTGAGGCTGTACCCAGAGAACCCATACCTTAACAGAAGTCACTGCAGAGGCAGGGTCCCATCCTTTAAAGGTTGAGATTCACCAATCTTTGAGAAGTGGGAAGAGTTAGCACACTTGGTGCTCAAAATATGTAGTTAGGAACAGAAACACCACTTTCTCAAACGTTTCCCAAAAACCTAAAGGGGAAGAAACACTTAACTCCTGTGAAATCAGCATTACCCTGGCAGAAAAGCCAGACAAACAATAATACAGACTAGTGCATCCTTATAAATACTCCTGAGGGCTGGGAAGGTGTCTCCGTGTTCTTGAGAGGACCTGGGTTTAGTTCCTGGCACCTCCATGGCAGCTCACGGCTGTAACTTCAGTCCTAGAGGTTCTAGCATCCTCTTCTGGCCTCTGTGGACACTGTACACGTGCAGTGCACAGACATACAGCCAGGCAAGACACCACCCATATGATAAATTAATTTTTTAATTTAAAATATTGATTCAAAAACAACCTTGGTAAAACACTAAAACAATTTAAATATATGTTTAAAAGAATCACACACCATAATAAAATGGTACTTCTGAAACGTAAGGATGGCTCTTCATCTAAGAATTCAATAAATGAAGCCAATTGCCACGTTAATGCACTGAAGACGCCATCACTCAGCTGGCCTTCAAGGGGAGAATTGACAGAACTCAAGCCATTTCTTAGAAATTGAAAACCTGGGTGTTGTGCATAAGTACAGTCCTAGAAGTTGGTCGGTGAAGATGGGAGGTCAGGAGTGCAAGGCCAGTGTGTGCTACACCAGGGTGAGTCTAGGAAAAGAGAACAGAACCCTCTCGATGAAGTAATAAAAGGGAAGTAATCAACAGGTCGTCTCTACTCAAGGAAGGGACACTTAGCCATGTCATCTTTCTCTAGCTGGCTATCTCATTAAAGAATTAAGGGCAACATACAGAAGCTTCATTGAAAATCTTAATGGTAAAAGATGAGGTCCTCTTGACGAGCCCATGAGTGGATAAAGAAAGTTCAGTCTGTACATAACAATGAGAAATGACGTCCTGGAACATATAACATGAAGGTTCTTTGAAAACATTATGCTAAGTGAAGTAAGCCGTTAAACACAAAAGGCTAATTTTCTATGACTTAAACTTACTGGAGTACCTAGAATATGAGATTTCAGAAGTTGGCATAGAGGCTACCAGAGATGGGAACCGGGAGAAATGGAGTGATGTTTAGTGGGTAAAACAAATGGTGAAAATTGTCTGGAAATCGTGATCATGACTGCATAATAATGAAAATATACAGGAAAAATGGATAAAATGATAAATCTTCCCACTCAAGTTGAAATATTCCTCTCATAATTTCAGTATTATATTGTCTTTGGAGTCATTTTCTTGCCAGGTGCTTTTGGCACACACATTTAATCCCAGCCCTCAGGAGGCAGAGGCAGGCAGATCTCTGAGTGCTCTACAGAGTGAATTCCAGGACAGCCAGAGCTATACAGAGAAAATCTATCTTAAAAAAACAATTTTTAAAAAGTCATTTTCTTCCATGTATTTTCTTGTTTTCTTCACTATATCCTTGATGTCTAGTACTTTTGTTTATGTAGTAGACATAATGACATTGTCAAGATGCTAGACTTTTTCATATTTTTAAAAATACTTTAACTGAAGTAGAATTATACCATTTTCTGCCTTCCCATTCCTCCTTCCAGTCCTCCCGTGCCCCCCACTCTCAAGTTGATAGCCCCCTTTTCTTTGATTATTACTATTACATACACAGTGTAAATGAGCACATACATATATATGCACAAGTAATTAAATACAACCTGTTGGGTCTGTTTTTATTTTTTGGGTGTAATTGGACAACCCACGGAGGTGGTTTATCCCTCAGAGAAGCTAATTCTCCCAGCAGTTGTTAGTTGCCTGTACTTCCGTCATCTAGGGGTGGGACCTTTCGAAAATGTTCTCTTCCACACTAGTTACATTCATTGATTCTGCCATTGTCCTGGCCTTGTTTATGTATCCATTTCTTTTTTTTTTAATATTTTTTATTTATTTATTATGTATACAATATTCTGTCTGTATGCCTGCAGGCCAGAAGAGGGCACCTAGACCTCATTACAGATGGTTGTGAGCCACCATGTGGTTGCTGGGAATTGAACTCAGGACCTTTGGAAGAGCAGGCAATGCTCTTAACCACTGAGCCATCTCTCCAGCCCCCGGGGAACATTCTTGAGAATTTTTATTAGCCAGGTGAAAGGGGAGCACACTTAAGATTTTAGCAGTTCTTTCCTGCTGGGCAAAGGTGACATCCTCATCAGCGGAACCTTGGGACAGTCTCTAGCATGCTAATATCTAGCTACCTAACATTTTCCCCTCAAGAGTCAAGACCATAAAAATCATTTAAGTTATTATAATGGACAGTGAGTCACCCTGTCCTCTTCCAGCTAAAAATGGAACATAGATGTGTTTCATCTCCGTTCTTGCTGTCAGGCATTGCAGGCCAACCAAGAGATCCAGACAGATGAGAGTAGTTGTCACAGGATGGCGTGAGTGTGGATGGGCCGTTCTGAGGGACTGAGACGTGGTACTTGTTTAATCTTAGTCTGCCCAGGGGGCCTGCAAGTGGAGGTATGGTGGGTTTCTCACTGAGAAGCAAGACTGGTTCCTAAGCCAGTGTTTTTAGAGGCAGGCACTGGCTGGGCAGCAAGTGTTCACTTCCACCCAGCTTGGGCAAGGAGATGGAAAGTGAGGGGGTCTCCAAAGAAAGAAAAACTGGTGTCCCCTGAGAAGCTGGGACTGAACACAGCAGGGAGGAGAGCCGGGAAAGAAAGCAGGCTGATACTTCACACCGGCAAGAGCTGGAGCAGATGCCAGCTGGAGTAGAGGGCGTCGTTTTGTTTTCGTTTATAACAAGATTNATATGTATCACATATAATATACTTTTAGGTAAATATAAAGTAGTATTATTCCTTGAGCCTTTATCAAACAGCCTTAGTGTTATTTGTCTGTTGTCCTTCCTCCAGCAGTGTGCATAGCAACTGCACTCATTATAGCCAGGAAATAGCAACAATATAATGTCCTTCACCAGATGAATGGATAGTGAACATGTGCTACGTAAACACTGTTATGCTGTCCAGCTGTAAAGAACAGTTAAATCCTGGACTTCGCAGGTAAGAGACTGGACTTGGACTCACTTATAAGAGACTCACTTATAGTGAGTAAGGTAACCCAGATCCAAAAAGACAAATGCCACATTTTCTCTGTCACTGCAGTTTGCAGCTCCAAATCCCCAGGTGAGATACAACATGGAGGAACAGCAGACAGCAGGGAAGTATAAAGGGACCACAGGTGCAGGGGAGGCTGAGAGGGGACACAGGTGGTATGCAGAGGGATATAGAAAGATGCTAGATTTTGTTACACTTAGAAGAGTGTAGGTTTTTTATCCTCAAAAGCAGAACTTGACTAAACTTAAAACCCAATCTGTCTGTCCTGAAGGAAGCAGTAGCAGAAATTATTTTTTTTCCCTTCTTTAGTCTTCTAGCTGTTGATTCCCTGGGCTCTTTGGAGTTCCCCTAAATACACACAACTCGGGCATCTCTTAAAGACTTGGGATGCTCGGCCAGCAAAGGCCTCTGTGCCAAACAGGATAGCATGAATTTTGTTCTGGGATCCACATAAAATAACTCTAATGCTCAACTAATAAACTGACAAATTGGGCATAATATCTAAGATCTGCACCTGAAAATTGAAGACATTACATTCCTTAATACACACGGAGGAGGAGGTAGAAATTAGCCATTTGAAAAGAAAGCCAAATAGGATGAGCTTCCAGTGTTGAGCTGCATCTACAGCAGGGCAGTTAAACTGGGCATCCATCATGAAAGTCTGAGGCTTTGAGTGTCAAGAAGCAAGAAAATTACCAAAGACTTCGAAAGATGAGAAGAGCCCTTGAAGAGACTCTTAGTGATTCAAAAGAAGATGCCTTTGATGATAATATTTTTTTTAAAGATTTATTTATTTATTATGTACACAGTATTCAGCCTCCATGTATGCCTGCAGGCCAGAAGAAGGCACCAGATCTCATTACAAATGGTTGTAAGCCACCATGTGGTTGCTGGGAATTGAACTCAGGACCTCTGGAAAAGCAGCCAGTGCTCTTAACCTCTGAGCCATCTCTCCAGCCCCTTTGATGATAATATTAATAATGGCAAATTAATGTCAGCTTAAAGTATCTAAATGTATAAAATATGAAAATATGACCAGGCAGTAGCTGCGCACGCCTTTAATCCCAGCACTCAGGAGGCAGAGGCAGGTGAATCTCTTTGAGTTCAAGGCAGCCTGGTCTACAGATTGAGTTCCAGGATAGCCTCCAAAGCTACAGAAAGAAACCCTGTCTCCAAACCACTGCCCCCCCCAAAGTGTAAATATGCACAAATCAACCTTGGAAAAACACAAGGCAAGAAATCAATACTCATCTTTTGCTGCTGACTAGTGTACCAACTCCATACTCTGAAAATAAGGGGTTAATTAAAAATATACCTCCCCTTTCTGAAGGTTTATTTTTTATTTGTGGTGGGGAAGAGTGTGTGTGTGTGTGTGTGTGCATGTGTGTATGTGCACGTGTGTGTGTGTGTGCAGTGCCCATGGAGACCAGAAAAGGGCATTGGATCCCCTGGAGCTGGAGTTACAGGCAGTTGTGAACTGGCAGAGCTCTGGCCCTCTGGAAGAACAGGAAGTACTCTTAACTGCTCAGCCATCTCTCCAACCTCCTAGATTACCTTTTTCTTATGTTACTCATTGCCTAAGCAGCTTCATGTATGAAATGCTTGTTCTAATCCATTGCCATTTGCATTTCTCTATTTCTTGTGTGTGTGTAGGTGTGCATGTGGCCAGCAAACAGTTTGTAGAAGTCTATCATTGTCAGACTTGGGCAAGCATCTTTATCTCTCTGGCCTCTACTGCCATTGTTTATTGGACTTATATATGTGTGCAGCTCAAAGAACGGCTTGTGGGAGGTGGTTCTCCTTTTATTATGTGGGTCCCAGGTTTGAACTCAGGTTCTTAGGCTTGGTGGCAAGTATCTTTACCCACTAAACCATCTTGCTGTTCTCTTGAGAGGATTTGTTTGTTTGTTTGGTGTGTGTGTGTGTGTGTGTGTGTGTGTGTTTATGGGAGATCATTCAGTTGGTAAGGGTTTGATGTGCAGGCCTGAAGGCCTGAATTTAGACTTCTAGCCCAACATAGAAAAGCCATGGGAAGTGGCACATAACCTGTAGCCCCAGTCCTTCTTGGGGAGCAGAGTCTGCCACTGTAGCTGAAGTGAGCCACATGTTCAGGAAGACAGACTCAGATCCAAAGATCATGTGGAGAGCAGTAAAAGAAACAAAATCCAGCACTCGGGAGGCAGAGGCAGGCGGATCTCTGTGAGTTCGAGGCCAGCCTGGTCTACAAGAGCTAGTTCCAGGTCAGGAACCAAAAGCTACGGAGAAACCCTGTCTCGAAAATCCAAAAAAAAAAAAAAAAAAAAAGAAAAGAAAAGAAACAAAATCAACCTCCCACCTCTACATGTGCACACATGGGTTTCCACACAAATTGTGTTCATAACAGAATTTTGTCATGGATTTTTTGGCTATCTTGATATGATTATGTGATTTGCTACTTTAGCCTATTGATATGCTGGATTACATTAATAGACTTGGAGGTGTTGAACAATCATACAGATCATGGTTGAGGTATAAAATTTTTCTTATGTCCTCTTGGACTCTGATTTGCTAATATTTTGTTCAGGATCTTTTTAAAAATTTTTTATGGTTTATTTAACTTTATTTCATGTGCATTGGTGTGAAGGTGTCAGATCCCCTGGAAAAGGATTTTCAGACACTTGTGAGCTGCCATGTGAGTGCTGGGAATTGAACCTGGGTCCTCTGGAAGAGCAGTCAGTGCTCTTAACCACTGAGCCATCTCTCCAGCCCCGTTGTTCAGGATCTTTATGTTAGTGTTCAGAGAGATATTAGTCTGTGGTTAGTAGTTTTCTTGTAATTGTCTTTAGGAAACAATCCCTCAGGATTGATGTAGTTTCTTCCTTGTTTGGTAGAATTTATTAGTGACTATTTCTGGGCCTCGTTCTGTTTTTAAAGTTAATGATCATTGATTTCGTATCTCCTATTTTAAGCCTTTTATACTTTTTCTGTAGTTAGATTTTCTCTTCCTTGTTTTTCAGTCCTTTTTATTATTGATTTTAGAAGTTTCTATTGAAACATACTCAAGCTCAGGGATTTCCTCAGTAAACGTAAGTTTTAAGTCTGTGCCCACACATATCTTTCTTTGTTTCACAGTGTTTCTGACCTAGGGTTTTTTTTTGTTTTGTTTTGTTTTTTGGTAAATTTCACCACTATTAGTAGCCTTTGGCATGCTACTGGTTTGGTTTGGTTTGGTTTGGTTTGGTTTGGTTTGGTTTGGTTTGGTTTGGGTTTTCGAGACAGGGTTTCTCTGGCTACTCTGTTTTAAATTTGTCTGTTTAACTACAGTGACCTTGTTATACCTGAATCAGGTTTTCAAACTTGGGTTTTATTTTTACTGTGCCTTGCAATTTGTTTTTGTTGTTGAAAACTGGACCTTTCTTGGCAAAAGTAATTCAAGCAAGCAGACCTCTAGCAGTGTGATCCGTGCAGGCAGAGATCAAGCAGCCCGAGTCCTAGAAGACCCTGGGAATCTTGTCCTAGCACCTCCATTCTCAAGTTCCTTTCCCTCTTTACGTGAGTTTCCCCTCTTGTAGAACTTGTGTGTCTGGTCTCAGTCATCCAGCGATGTGACCTTCACCAGTGCTTCTCAGTCTTTACCCAGTAGGTAGAGCGGGGTGACTCCAGTGAACCCCCATCCTCAGGCCAGTCAGTACTGTATGAAAGCCCACTAGGTTAGGCTCTTGCTTAAGGCTCCTGGGGTGGACTTTGTGAAGAACCAAGAGTGCTCTGGGTGTGTTTCAGAAGGTGGCTTTCCCCGCCTCCTGTCAGACGCACAGCTGAGCCCTCTAGATAGCAAGCAGAAGCTCCTAAGCCCACCACCTGGAATAGGCCTGCTCCCAGATGCCTTGTTTGTGCCTCGGTTGTTTCTTTCAGATACACCAGCCATTCCTAATGTTAGACAGGCTTGGGTTGAGGCTCAGGGAGAGAGAACAGATCTATAATAAATATAATGTCTTATTCCTCAGTGCTACCCATTTCTGTCCTGCGTGTGCTGCTTAGCTCGACAGCAGACAAGACCTGCTGAGAAGCAGATGGAAACAAGACTGCACGCGTGTATGCTGGGTTTGTTGCAGGGGAGTGCTGGCAAGTGCTGTTGCTGACGGCTGTAGTGGAGAAGTGGGAACGGACTGCCCTGGTCATGAGCTCTACTAGCCTTGGTTCATGGGCTTTTCCATGTCTCCATGTTTGCCCTTAGTTATTTGTACCACTTTGGAACTGAGAACTGACACAGGTACATTCTGTCTGTTCTCTGTCCAAGCTTCTCCATTCTGAGTCTTGGGTACATTTCTCAAGACTGTAGTGACCACAGTCTAGGAAGACGTCGGGGCGAGTGTGAAGAAAATTACATCAGCCTAGTCGCTGGTCTGCCATAGGTGGCAGCTGGCTCTGTCAGTTACATTGGTCAGTTTGCTCTTTTTTTCCCCCATTCCCCTCAACTGTACTCTTGAGATGCTGAAACTTCAACTGCCCAAGGGATTTGTAAAGAAAGGGAGGGAAATAGCTCAGTGTAGTGTTTCAACTTCCCAAACTAACAGTCGGTTTGCTCTTGTATTTGGCATTCAGAATGCCCTTGGCATGCCAGTCTGTGTGATGGCATTGAAGTCCTTGAGACCGATTTTATTAACCAAAATGGATACCACCCCTTATATTTTAAATGAAGCCCACTTTATTTTTATCAAAAGAAGAAACTCTTAAGAGTGTGTGGGAGCATTTACCCCGGGACCGGGACTTTAGCGCTCGGATTTGTGCGCTAACACTGTGGGAGCATCAGCTGTGATTTGGGCTTTCCTCCCCCCCTCTTGTCTGCTGTGGTCCCTGCTCCCATCAGTCGTGACTCTCGTTCTGCCCGTGTCTCAGAATGGGGTTGGGAGGGTAATTTGTCCAGGGACCTCACTGTTCGGATGGGGCTGTGAAAATGTTGGTTTTTAAATAGGTTTTTGGTTTGGTTTGGTTTGGTTTTTGGATTTCCGAGAGAGTTTCTCTGTGTAACCCTGGCTGTCCTGGAATTCACTCCGTGGACCAGGCTGGCCTCGAACTCACAGACATCCTGCTGCTGCCTCCTCACTGCTAGAATTAAAGGCTTGTTCCACCACCACCCAGCTTACATAGGATTTGACTTGGTAAGGGAGTGACAACTTCCAAGCTTTGTGCACACTGGACTAGAAGCCAGAGGGTTGATGCTCTATACTGAAGGAGTCCGCATATGTCAGGATGTTTGCCTACTGTTCCTTCTTGCAGTTCTTTACTAACCCTGGTCTCTGAAAATTCTTAATTTTTTTTAACACTAACAATTTTCTTTTTTAAAAATGGAAACATTTTACATAGAGTATTAAGTCTTAAGTATGTATCTTGATACATTTTCAAAGACCTGTCTCTACTCCTAAAAGAGTAAGTGGAGTAATCCATTTCTGCAGTGTCCTCTGCTCCTTTCCTCAGAAGACCCGGTTCCCATCTAAAATCACCAGTTCCAGCTTCCATCTGCGGGATTAGTTTTCACATTCTGGGGTGACAGATAAGTGGAGCCGTCACTGTGGCAGCTGGCTTCACTCGCTCAGATACCATGGGCTTTAGCCACATTGCTGTCTCCGTAGCTTCTTTTATTAGTAAGGCCCCACAACTAGCTTATCCCATCACCTGTCAATGAAGAGTTGGGCAGCTTCCAGTTTGGGGGCCGTCAGAAAGAAGGCCTCCATGGATGTGTACACACACTTTTTATAGATAAGGATCCTCATTTCTCTCGGGCAGATGAATACTGAGGTGAGATCGGCGGGGTAATTAGTGTGAGACATGTGTTTATGAAAAGTCTTAATTTTCAGTGCTACTAAACCACATTAATAGTTTCACTTTTTCTTGGCTTGACAGCTGTGGAAATGCGAGTCACGGTGTAATTTTGACTGATGACGGCATCAGCAAATAACAGATGAGTGCCAGCTGCAGGGCCTTGGGCGGAGTCCGTGCCAACCCCACGGGGAGCGCGGCAGCTGCTTCGGGAGCGTAACTGATGCTTGTTCCCGTGGAACTTAGCAGCTGCTGCTGCTCCAACTAAATTTAACAACTACGGGCAACTGAAAGCCATTTTACAAAGTATTCCCCATATAGTCTCTGTTACAGAGCTTGGCAGAGGGCTGTGCAGGGACTGGTTCCCTGTTGTAGAAGTGTCCTCCATGATTCTCAATGCCCTGGTCTTTCCTTCTTGTGTATAAGATTTATCAAAACTTATTAATGTTATAAAGGAACAGGCAGATAGTAACATGGTATGGGCTTTGAGGAGAGTTCAGCCCACGGGGCAGAGTAGCTTTCTGTGAGAATCCACGTGTGACTCAGTTTCCATCTGGAGCCTGTTCTTATTTATACGTCATTTCAGTTCAGGTTTGCCTACTCTGCTTCTCCAGTGACCTTGAGGTCTGTGAGAGACTTCTGATATAGTCCGTGAGAAAAGAACACTCTATCTAGACAAACCTCAGGAACATGAAGACAGAAAGTGAGGCTGCTTCTGAGCAGCAAGCACATGCTGGAGAGGAGGCTGCTCACTCAAGGACAGGAATGGTCGGTCTTGTGGTTAGATGCTGACTGACCGTCTGTGCCTTGCTTTGTTCTGCTTTTGGTATATAAGCAAGTTCTGAAATAAACTCTGGGTTCTTTGGCTGTTTCAACATAACCAGACAGACCTCCCGATTCTATCCTGTATTTTCTGTCTCTGTTCCTTTCATCTGATATTTCCTCAGCCTTGATGACCCCCGACCCAGGGACCGTAGCTGACTTCATAGGAGTGGGCTCCTACACTTTCCCTTCTTTTCTTTTTTTAATAATTTATTTTTTATGTGCATTGGTGTGAATGTCTGTATGAGGGTGTCGGGTCTCCTGAAACTGGAGTTACAGACAGTTGTGAGCTGCCGTGTGGGTGCTGAAATTGAACCAGGGTCCTCTGCAAGAGCAGTTAATGTCCTAACTGCTGAGCCATCTCTCCAGCTGTCCCTTCTTACAGGACTCAGAGGAAGGGGGACGGTTCTACCACATGTTTGATGGTAGTCAGTGTTTTCAGGCAGGCCATCCCTGGGAGGGGAGAAGAGCAAGACTCTAGAAAAACAAGTGAATAGAGGACCTTCAGGTACTGGCATGCCCCGGGGAACATTCTTTAAAAAAAAAAATTTATTATGTATATAGTATTCTGCCTGTTTGTATGCCTGCAGGCCAGAAGAGGGCACCTAGACCTCATTACAGATGGTTGTAAGCCACCATGTGGTTGCTGGGAATTGAACTCAGGACCTTTGGAAGAGCAGGCAATGCTCTTAACCACTGAGCCATCTCTCCAGCCCCCGGGGAACATTCTTGAGAATTTTTATTAGCCAGGTGAAAGAGGAGCACACTTAAGATTTTAGCAGTTCTTTCCTGCTGGGCAAAGGTGAAATCCTCATCAGCGGAACCTTGGGACAGTCTCTAGCATGCTAATATCTAGCTACCTAACATTTTCCCCTCAAGAGTCAAGACCATAAAAATCATTTAAGTTATTATAATGGACAGTGAGTCACCCTGTCCTCTTCCAGCTAAAAATGGAACATAGATGTGTTTCATCTCCGTTCTTGCTGTCAGGCATTGCAGGCCAACCAAGAGATCCAGACAGATGAGAGTAGTTGTCACAGGATGGCGTGAGTGTGGATGGGCCGTTCTGAGGGACTGAGACGTGGTACTTGTTTAATCTTAGTCTGCCCAGGGGGCCTGCAAGTGGAGGTATGGTGGGTTTCTCACTGAGAAGCAAGACTGGTTCCTAAGCCAGTGTTTTTAGAGGCAGGCACTGGCTGGGCAGCAAGTGTTCACTTCCACCCAGCTTGGGCAAGGAGATGGAAAGTGAGGGGGTCTCCAAAGAAAGAAAAACTGGTGTCCCCTGAGAAGCTGGGACTGAACACAGCAGGGAGGAGAGCCGGGAAAGAAAGCAGGCTGATACTTCACACCGGCAAGAGCTGGAGCAGATGCCAGCTGGAGTAGAGGGAGTCGTTTTGTTTTCGTTTATAACAAGATTGACAGTTTTCAAGGCAGAAAAAGCTGCAATGTAGGAACCCTGTACATTGCTGTCCTACTGTGTGAAGTTATCCACATGTGTATAGTTTGAACTCACTAAGAAGTTTTGACAAATTAATCAGATCCAGTTGAATCCTCTAACTCACTTCCTGGTGTGTGAAAAATTTCACAAAGATAAACCAAGGGAAAATAAGTGACCTCAGATTAAAGGTAATAGGTTCTGATCCAAGCACAGGAGACATTCTGACCCAGTATTGGGATTTTCAAAAAAGTTCACTGACTTCCAGAAGGCCCGACAATGGTTAGTTAGTGTACACACCTTAAACCCCAGCACTCAAGAGGTGGAGGCAGGAAGATCTCTGAGTTGGAGGCCAAGCTGGTCTACAGAGTGAGTTCCAAGACAGTCAGGGCTACCCAGAGAAACCCCATCTCTATAAAAAGCATCAATAAAAAGCCACTAATGCTCAGAGAGGACAGACAGCCGCACAGCGAGGGCTCTGAGGAGAGTTCAGGCCCGATGGTACATTTAACCCTGGAGAAGCCCCGCTCTCGCACGGGTATATTAGCTTCTGAATATTTGCCGATGCTAACTTTTAGTTTATTTTGTTCTGAGTTTGGGGGACAGGGCCACACTGTATAAACTAGGCTGGCTTTGAGCTTCTGTCTCAGCCTCCCAGGTACTGGAGTTACACCCAACTTTGGAGTGCTACTTTTTTAAAAAAAATATATAGTATATTTATTGTGTGTGCACATGTGTACACGTGTACATTCCTGGGTGTATGTATGTGCACCACATGTGTTCAGGAGACGACAGAGATCAGAAGAGGGTCTCAGATCCCTTGGAACTGGAATTATAGGAAACTCTGGGCTATGTGTGGGTGCTGGAAACTAAGCCTGCATCCTAGAAGAGCAGCCAGTGCTCTTAATGCTGAGCCATCTCTCCAACCTCCCAAAATGGTACTTTCTTTTTAGTTTTTAGTTTTCTGTGCATTGGTGTTCTGTCTGCATGTGTGTCTGTGAGGGTATCAGTTCTTGGAGTTACAGTTGTGATCTGCCATGTGGGTGCTAGGATTTGAACTCAGGTTAGGGGAGATTCAAGAGAAAAGGAATTAGCGGAAACACAGATTAATTTACTATTTGGAGGGACTGACTCTGAGTCCTATGACAAATGGGATTGCTGCAGTAGGGCTGTAGAGCCCAGGAGGCTCTCTGGATTGTGTGCTCCTTAGTGGGGGAAATGAATGGGGGTGATGGAGGAGTCAGATTTTAACTGAAGGTTTAGGTCACTCTACTTGTAAACCTAAGGACATGGATAGCCCTTTAATGTCCTGAGAGCCCCAGAGTGTGCACAATAATTAGTAAAGTGGTACAGGACACATTGTCGCATTAGGGTATAACTCCTGTCCCATTACGACATAATGGCTGCCGGGAACTCGGCATGTTCTGTCTTGTTTTGTGTTTATATATTACCTATGTTTTTTAATTTTTTAAAAATATTCTATGTACATATTTTTAGAAGCTAGTTTTAGAACTGTGGGGAGGGTTTTTGGTTTTTATAGATGGCCTATAGGTTCTGAGTAGCCAGAGAGAAAGCTGACAATTACAGTTTATTGCCTGGTGATTGAAAATTTAGCCTCCAATCCTTGGTATGAAATGTGATTGGCCTCTTAGCAGTGAGTGCGATGTTAGGCTTCATCAGCAGAGGGTGCAAGAGGGACCCTGATGGAAGGGAGCGTCTGTTGGTCCGACTGCAGCATTTTGCTTTTCTTGCTCTATGACCATTAGGACCATTAGTAGACGTGTGTGTGGGACACTCAGTGCTGCCCAGCGCCAGCAGTGCCCCAGGCAATGCAGTCTTTTCCTTATGCGAGCACAGTGGGCTCCTGTGTGTGGGAGCTGGGCAGAGAGAGGTGCCTGCTGCACAGACATGGTCTAACTGACTGAAGTCTGCCTGGCTTCTACTTCCAGTCCCAGCTGTGTAGAAAGCCTTTGTAGCTCCTGGTGTGTTTTTGAGTTCCACAGCTCCCATTCCTCACTCCTCGAGCCTCCCCACTCAGTTCTCTAGAGCCAGGAATGCTGTTCCGCTCAGACTAGGTGAGAGGGTGGAGGGAGTGCCAGGACCTCCAGATTCCCACTTCCCTGTTCCCTGTTGATGCCACAGGATGAAGGACAGCAGTGCAGCCACTGTTAACTGCCAAACTTGGCCTTGCTGTAAGATGCTGGAACTGAAGACAGTGGAGTAAGGTTCCCCTCATCCAAGTACTAACCAGGCAGGCCCAGCCGTGCTTACTGAGACGGCTGAGATTTGACTAGTTAACAATGGAGGCTCCAGTTTTGGTGTTTTTGAGACAGGGTTTTTCTGTGTAGCTCTGGCTGTCCTAGAACTCTCTGTAAAACAGGCGGCCCTCAGACTCAGAGATCCGCCTGCCTCTGCCTCCCAGGTGCTGGAATTAAAGGCGTGCACCACCACTGCCTGGTGCTTTTTCTAAAAAAAAAAAAAAAAAAAAAAAAAACCTGGATCCTGAGGTCAGCTTTTTACTAAGTAAGGATTGGAGAAGGTGGTGAGGTGTGGGCATCTGTGGTCCTGTTGCGTGCTGGAGGTGGGGTGATGCAGGAGTGAACTGCCTGAGCAGTTTTTTAACCATTGCACACCATTTTCTTTCTCTAAGAAGCCAGAAGAGGAGGAAAGAAGACGTTTGCATTTAAAGACATGGACAAGGTAAGCCTCAATTGCCACTTTTGTCATGAAAGCTCCTTGGTTGGTCTCTAAATGCTACTGTAGTTCAGGGGTCTTCTCTAGAGTCCCCAGCTATGGAAAAGAAGAAGCCGTGTTTGTGGAGTTTCCCCAAGCTGCCTAGGCATCTGCTTTGTACAAACTGTTACCTAGAATTTCTGTTCCCCAGGCTTTTAATCAGTATGGAACAAGATCTCGTCAGTGAATCTGGCCATTTGCAGGGAATTTGAGGTTAGTTTCGTCTAACCTCTGCTGTCCCTGCTAGAGTCACCGCAGTGACCTTCTTGCTTAGAAATTATAACAGCAGTGGGGTCTGCCTGGCCTCTTCCATTCATTTTTCCCCAGAAGACCCTCAGCTGTTGGCGTTTTCAGATTATTTTGTCTGTGCATATGATTGGCCCTGTGTTTCCTCCTGCACTGAGAACAGAAACAACTAGCTCAGATTCTTACTCTGAGTCACTGTAGTTTGAGGTTCTTCCCAGATGTCACCTTACTTAGTCCTCGTCATAGCCCTGTGCGACAGCTGTGACTGCTTCATTAGTTGTGTTGGGTAGTCTTTTAAAACGGGTATCTTTATTCCTTCTTTGACAGTTTCACACCTGCAAAGTACACTGATCATGCGCATCCCCAGCTTTCCCCTCATACTTCTTCCTGATACCCCTGCGTCCCCCTCCTTGTTCACGCCTTCATGTCATCATTGTCTTCTTCCTCTCTCGCCTCTTCCTCTTCCTCTCTTCTTTCTCCTCTTCCTCCTTTCCGATTAGTGCTGCCTGTTGGAATGCTACCGATCTGCAGTGACCATGTCACAGCATTCCTCTCGTCCTTAAGATCACATTTGTATGGTAAATTTCATTCTTTTATATTTTTTAAGGTTTATTTTATTTTATGTGTGTGGGCATTTTGCCTGTATGTATGTCTTTGCAGTACATGTGTGCCTGACATACTTGGAAGCTGGAAAAGGGTGGTGGATCCCAGAAACTGGAACCACAGATGATAATCGACAGCCGTGTGGGTGCTGGGAACTGAATCTGTGTCTTCTGGAAGAGCGGCCAGTGATCTTAACTGCTGAGCCGTCTCTCCAGCCCCTCTTTCTTTGTTGATGTTGTTCGTTTGACAGTTTCATACAGATATAGAATGCATTCTGATAACTCTCTCCCAACCATCTCCTATCTTCCTCCCATGCCAGACAACACCTCCATCTCTACATGTCCCTTTCCCAGATTCATGACCTTTGGTTCTGTTGTGTGACCTGTAGAGTTTGCCCAGGTTTCTCTGGGCAACCCATGGATTGGTTTGTTTGCTGTAGGACAAGGTTTTACTGTGTAGCCTTGGCTGGCCTGGAACTTACTTTGCAGACCAGGATGGCCCAAACTCAGAAAGATCCTCCTGCCTTTGCTTCCCCAATGCTAGAACTAAACGTGTGCACCACAACACCAAGCTGTGACATGGCACTTCCCACAGGTGCCCGTTGGGTACCAGTGGGTACACAGCCGACAACAATGATCCCCTTTTCCTTTGTCATTGTTTTAAACATAGGACTCTAAAGCTTTTCTCAGACATTTCTGCTATCTCGAGAGTCTGGCTTCTCTTCTCCAGGAGTTGGGGTCAAGTGCCTGTTGTGGTAGCTTTATTGTCTCCTAATCATGTGTGTCTCTCTGTTGTAGTTTGCACATCTGTGGTGATGGATGTGTCTTTCTTTATTTTTTTTATAAAGTTTTTTTTATTTACTTATTAAGTATACAATATTCTGTCTGCGTGTATGCCTGCAGGCCAGAAGAGGGCACCAGACCTCATTACAGATGGTTGTGAGCCACCATGTGGTTGCTGGGAATTGAACTCAGGACCTTTGGAAGAGCAAACAATGCTCTTAACCACTGAGCCATCTCTCCAGCCCTCTTTTATTTTTTTTTTAACTCTTTCCAGAGCAAGTTTTTGTTTGTTTGTTTGATTGGTTGGGGTTTTTTTTGTTTTTGTTTTTGTTTTGTGAGGCCTTTTAAAAATGATGTCCTCAGTAGGAAATACATTTCCTGCTACTATGAGGACAGATTGGAGTGGTCACCCCAATAGTTTATCAGCAGTTTTAGCCTTTCCTTTACTATAGAAGACTTGAATATTACACTGTGGAAGACTGTATTACACTTGAGTATTACACTGCAGAAGACTGACTGTACTACACTTGAGTAGTACACTGTGGAAGACTGTATTACACTGTGGAAGACTGTATTACACTGTGGAAGACTGTATTACACTGTGGAAGACTGTATTACACTGTGGAAGACTGTATTACACTGTGGAAGACTGTATTACACTTGAGTATTACACTGTGGAAGACTGTATTACACTGTAGCACAGGATTACAGTTAGGTTTAGAAAAGTAACCAGTTAAAAAAAGCAGTTAAAATATTAAAATGTTGGGCTGGAGAGATGGCTCAGCAGTTAGGAGCATTGCCTGCTCTTCCAAAGGTCCTGAGTTCAATTCCCAGCAACCACATGGTGGCTCACAACCATCTGTAATGAGGTCTGGTGCCCTCTTCTGGCCGGCAGGCATACATGCAGACAGAATATTGTATACATAATAAACAAATATTTGAAAAAAAATATTAAAATGTTTGACAGAGCAGACACACACAGGCGTCTGCAGAGAAGGAAGAGCGGAGGCAGTGATGAGGAGATGCTGTGTACCTGCACATACAGTTCCATTCAGTTGAGAAACACCACTCACATGGGCTTTACTTGACATGCCAAGGAGCAGGCGTGCTCTGACCGCATGTGTGCACCTTTGTCCCCACACTGGCTTGTGCATATGGAAGGGTCTAGCCAGGTTCTCCAGGGAATTGTCATCTCTGCTGTCCTTTCTGTTGAGGTTTTATCTTGATTTCACAAATGGCATGTTTGTGTGTGATTTCAGGGCTTGCATTTCACAGAAGTGGTCATCTACTTCTGTCGAGAGGAATGGAAGTGCTTGCACCCTTCCCACCGGAATTTGTACCAGGATGTGATGTTGGAGACGTACAGCAACCTGATCTCACTAGGTAAGGTCATTCACCCACCAAAATTCAGACTTGCCCTTTGAAATTTTCAAGTTCTTTATGATGAGCGTTGATTTATTTTTTTAATTTTATTATGTGTATGGGTGTTTTGCCTGCAGGTATGTCTGTGCATGCCTGGTACCCACAGTAACCGCAGGAGACACTGAATCCCCTAGAATTTGAGGTACAAATGGTTGTAAGCCACTGTGTGGGTGCTGAGAACTGAACTCCAGTCCTCCGGAAGAGAGGGCAGTGCTCTTTAACTGCTGAGCCACCTCTCCAGCCCCTGTTGATTTATTTGAGACAAAGTCTGCTATGCAGCCCAGAATAGTCTGAAATTCATGACAATCCTCCTACCTTAGCATTACAGGTGCTGAGGGTATAGACCTTCATCAAAAACTTTTGTTGAATTTTTCATGAACACTTTTCAAGTACTGAGCTAAACTAATGATGTTTCTTACACACACACACACACACACACACACACACACACACACACACACACACACACACACACACACACACACGGAGAGGAAGGGAGGCGTCTTCTCTTCCCCAGCCCTCCAATATTCATTCACTTTGATCCCTAACTTACTTCTTCCGTATTATCATTGTTGGGGTGGGGAAGGGCGCGCACATAGGGGTCAGAGGACAACTCTCTGGATTCAGTTCTCCATCTATCTCTGCATGGATTCTGAGGATTGAATTTAGGTTGCCAGACTTGTATAGCAAGTACCTTTACAACTTATTTTGGTTGCTTTTCCCTTTCCCCTAAATCTGCCCAGATCCTTTCCACTTCCCACCACCCAAATCCACATGCTTCCTTTCTCTCATTAGAAAACAAACCAGAATAAACAAATCTAAATAAACAGGAAAATAAACCGCAAAAGCACAGGGAGCACATGCAGAGAGGAAGATGCACACAGAGACGACCATAACCATAACGTACAAGTAAAGATCTGTAAGCTTAAAAAGAAAGAAAGGAAAACAAAACCCCAAACACAGGAGCTTCCAACAGTCCCATCAAGTTCATGTTTCAGCTACTGCTGAGCCTGGTCCTGCCCTAAGGGGTGGGACCTATCCCCAGGGAGGACCCTCTGGAGAAAACTTAATTTCTCCCTTGCTGGTGGTTGTCAGTTAGAGATAGTAGATTCTGGGTAGGAGGGAGGCCTCTGTCCACTTCCCCGCTCAGGTCTGAGACCCTGCTTTTCTCTCTTGACAGCCATGACTTATTTTACTGTAGTCTCACTGTGTGGCCCTGGCTGGCCTTGAACCCACAGAGTCTCTTTCCTCTGCCCCCTGAACTGACGCGGATGCTGACATGCACAACATAAGCTTCCCTCTTTGTCTCTGGGCAGGTATTGCTGACACTAAGCCGAGTGTGATCTCCCTCTTAGAGCAGGGGAAAGAGCCCTGGATGGTGATGAGGAATGAGACGAAAGAATGGCATCCCGGTGAGTGCTGGTCCTGGACCTGGGGGGCCTGGCAGGTTGTCACCCAGGCAGCCTGTGAGAAGGCAGCACTCTAGGTGCTGCTGGAAAAGCTCTAGTCAGTAGAGTACACTCCTTACAAGCATGAGGGTCTTTGAAATTTTTCATAGTATTGGGAAATACCAAATGGCATGTAATAACTGTGCTTTACAAAACCCGAGTATGTAGAACAGTGAGCACCCTGCACTGTAAAGGTCATAAGGCCCAGGAAAGCAGCCAAGTGAGCCGTAGTGACATCTTAGGGAAGGGATGCCAGCAGACTCTTTTTTTTTTTTTTTTTTTTTTTTTTGTGCTGTACAGCGTAAAGAGCATCCATCAGCAGTTAGCTAAGGTCAGAAACAGGTACGAGAGGGCAGGTTTTCAAAAGGTTCTTATGTGCGTGTGTTTGCACACGCATGCCGCCTGCTGTCTGTCTGGGCACCATGTGCATACATTGCCCATGGAGTTCAGTAAGTGAGAGTCCCTGGAGTTCCAGTGCTGAGAACCAAACCCGGGTCATGTACAAGAGCTGCAAGTATGCCTAACTGTTGAGCCATCTTCTCTCCAGCTCCACTAAGATACTTCGGAGATTTGTTCATTTTGTGTCTGAGTGTCTTTGCCTGAACACATGCATGTGCACCACTTATCTCCTTGGTGCCTTTGTAGATAGAAGAGGCAATAGGATGCCTGGATCTGGAATTATGTGTGGTTGTGAGCCGCCTTGTAGGTCGTGTGAGTTGAACCCAAGTCACCTACAAGAGCAGCAAATATTCTTAACTGTTGAGCCATCTCTCCAGGAATAGATTTGTTTTTAATTTTGTGTGTGTGTGCACATATAAGTGTTGAAGCCAAAAGAAGCATTAAATCTTCTAAAGCTGAAGTTATAGGTGGTTGTAAACTACCTGGGTTAGATTCTAGGAATCAAACCTGGGCCCTTTGCAAGAGCGGCAAGTATGTGTAACCTCTGAACTATCTTTCCAGCCACCTTGTGGAGGAGTTGGTTCTAATAGAAGGTGCTATGATCTCCCTATATTATTTTATTTATTTGTTTGTTTGTTTTGTCTTGTTTTTGAGGCAGGTTTCACTGTGCAACAGTTCGGGCTGTCCTGGAACTTTGTAGTCTAGGCTGGCCTCTCTCAGAGATTCACTTGCCTCTGCCTCGCTAATGCTGGGATTCATAGTGTGCGCCACCGCCGCCCGGCAGATCTCACTATTTTAACAGCAACATTTGAACCGCCGTGCACAGTGGACATGAGGGGGTGGCGGCAGGACTAGGAGGATAGATAGCATGTTGTATGGATGGCATGGTGTGACTAGTTAGCAATAATGGTTCTGAACGAGACGGCTGAGATACAAAAGGAAACGGAGCCACCTGTTGTGATCTGAGGCTAGAGGGGGAGCTGTTGCTGCCTGTGCCTGTTTATCTTCTCTCTCAGTTTTCTTAGGCAGTTCCTGGCTAGCATGTTTGGGGTAAGTTTCCTGTCTGATTTGGGTGCCCACCAGAGTGGGAAGAACGTGGCCTTCGCCTTCCTTTCTGAGCTCTCTTCATTGTGTCTCATCCCATACCCTCTCCGTCTTCAGAGTTCAATGTCGTGTTGTGAGTTGTTTCTGTTTTCATTGCCTTAGCTGTCACTTCCTGCAATATTACCTTCCCTCTCTTATTATCTTACAGATTGGGTGTCTAGAAGAGAAGGCAAGAACTTCCTTCCAGAGGATGGCTACAGAATGAGATCATTGCAACAAAAGGCGGCAAAAAACCGTGCCCAGCCCAGCCTTGAGAACAACAGGGGTCACAGAGAGGTCACAGGCCAGCTGGAGATGCAGCAGGACCATCAGGAGGGACATTTGAAACAAGCTGTGGTGAGCTCTGTCAGGAGGCCTAGTTCCTTCCAGTGCACAGCCCATAAAAAAGCTCACTCTGGAGAAAAACCCCATGAATGTAAGAAATGTAAGAAAACGTTCGTGTGCCGGCCGTGTCTCACTGAACACGAGCAAGTGCACAATAAGGGAAAAGGCACCAAGTGTGCACAGTGTGGGGAAGTCTTTAGCTGTAGGTCAGACTTGACTATGCACCAAAGACTTCATGAAAGCAAAAAAAGCAATGAAAATAAGAAAAGTGTCCTTAATTGTGGTTCTGACATTTCGAAACCTCAGAGTACTCACAGTAGTGAGAAACCTCACAAGTGTAAGGAATGCGGGAAAGGTTTCCATTCTACCTCACAGCTCAGTCACCATCAGAAGCTGCATATAGGTGAGAAGCCCTACAAGTGTAAGGAGTGTGGGAAAGCGTTTCCATCTGTCGCACAGCTCAGTCTTCACCAGAGAGTTCACACTGACGAGAAGTGCTTTGAGTGCAAGGAATGTGGGAAAGCCTTCACCCGGCCCTCACATCTCCTTCGGCACCAGCGAATCCACACTGGTGAGAAGCCGCACATGTGTAAGGAATGCGGGAAGGCCTTCCGTTACGACACTCAGCTTAGTCTTCATCAGCTCACTCACGCCGGGGCGAGACGCTATGAGTGTAAGGACTGTGACAAGGTGTACAGTTGTGCCTCACAGCTCACTCTGCAACAGATGGTTCACACCGGGGAGAAGCCCCACAAGTGTAAAGAGTGTGGGAAGGGCTTTATCTCTGATTCACATCTTCTTCGACATCAGAGTGTCCACACTGGTGAGAAGCCCTATAAGTGTAAGGAATGCGGCAAGGGCTTTCGTCGTGGCACAGAGCTGGCCCGACATCAGAGAGCCCATGCTGGTGATAAACCCTATAAATGTAAGGAATGTGGAAAGTCCTTTACTTGTACCACAGAACTCCTTAGACATCAGAAAGTTCACACTGGTGAGAGACCCCACAAATGTAAGGAGTGTGGGAAGGCTTTCATTCGAAGATCAGAACTAACACATCATGAAAGAAGCCACAGTGGTGAAAAACCCTATGAGTGTAAGGAGTGCGGGAAGACCTTTGGCCGCGGCTCAGAACTTAGTCGACACCTGAAAATCCATACTGGGGAGAAGCCCTATAAGTGTAAGCAGTGTGGGAAAGCCTTCATTCGTAGCTCTCACCTTACCCAACATCAGAGAATTCACACAGGGCAGAGGAGTGAATGAGGAAACGCTGCCATCGGAAAGTCCTGCAGTTAGAGCCCCTACGATGGCTAACAGGTGTGGGACAGCAACATCACAGGCATCATCATCCCTTCCTCATCCGCACTAGAATTCACACACAGACCCAGTTAGGGCCAGAAACGACTGGACATTTGTCACCAGTAGGAAACCTTACAAGTATAGAAATTGGAAGTGACTTAATTGTTGCAGAATTTATCGTGAGCTTTAGCTAATGGAAAACTGGAAATTCCCATGAATATAAAGAAAGTAGGAATGCCCTGTCAGTGGCCCAGAGCCAAATAGGCCTCAGGGAATTCACACCAGAGAAATTCACACTGAGGAGGCAGTAAATACATCAGAGGAGCTAGTTGTTCCCCTGGCTACAGATGTGATCTTTTGTACTTAAGGTCACACTTACGTTCAAAGTGCAGCACATTCTCCCTTCATCCCACTCACATTTTATGAAATATTTGCAGGTTTATTCTATAAAATGAGCTTGAACTGAGGAAGTGTGGAAAGGACTTGACCATGTTTACCTTTTACTCAAGAGTTAGAGCAGGGTAAATTACTTGCTGACCTTAAAATTCTTTTATAAATTAGCAATGTTAGCATCATATATCTAGTTATACTGTGAGGATGTGTATAGCTTGCAGACTAGCATCTAACTAGTTTTTAAATTGTACCAAATGCATCAGGGCATTGTGGTGCACACCTGTAATCTAAGCACCTGGAAGCCAAAGGCAGGAGGATCACAAGTTTGAGGCTAGCTTGAAGGATATTCCAAGAAAAAAGTATACCAAAGATAGCTGCTTTCTTGTTATTTTCAAACCTGTGAACTTTTATATAACAATCTTATAAAAGGAAAGCCTTACATGCCCAGTGGATGGAGGGTGGGGACATTTTGCATTGTCCCCTAGACTGTGAGAGAACACAGGTTCCTTTTGAAGAACAACTGCAGGCTTTCACTCACCGTGTGTCCTTCTGCTGTCAGGAGGCTCACGGTTTGAACGCAGACCGACCGTTACTTTGATGACACAAGAGTTGTGTGGGCTGAAGATGAAAGGTTTCTGAGCTAAGGCCAGTTGGACGAGCAAAGTGTAGGCTTTGCCTATCTGTCGGCATTACCATTTCCCTCTGCCATGTCACCAACCACGTACAGTCTGGGCCTCCTCGCTGCACACTTGGTCTCACGTGTGCAAAAGGATCTGAGCAGAAGTGCACGTGGGCTTTAGTAAGAAGACAGGGAAATGGTCTTCCCACCTGCAGGGGGCACAGCTGTGCGCCAGGCGGCGCCTGATCTGTGTTGCAGTCCAAAGGGCAGGAAGCTGAGACTGTCCTAGGCAGTGTGAGGTTATTGACGTTGTGGCTTCAGGAAACCATGAACTGCAGAATAAGAAATGCATACATTGAAAATTCAGCTCTTTACAGTGTACCTCTTAGAAATTACCATTTAAAATATTTATATATATATTCAGTTTCAGTAAGGTAGGGTGTTTATATAAAATTTCAGCTTTTATAGTATATCTGACATAGAGAAGCAATATTTTTAAAGTACTTTTAGCCATATTATCAAAATATATATTCAGCTTTGACTTAGTAAGATATAGGCTGTTTACTTAAAGCATTTGATGGTGTCTTTTTATATCCTGGAAAAGTATTGTTTTCCTGAATGAAGTGAGAGCCAAGGAGAACCTGCTTAAGCAACTACATTAACTCCTCTACACCTAAGTCATCTGGCAGCTAAAAATCTTCTACCTCTTCAGGAAACAAGGCACTCACAGCTATGCAGGAGCAAACATTTTACCAAATTTGGAAAAGCACAGCATCTAAAATCAAGTCAGCTATCTACAAATCCGTTTTTCTTAGAGTAGAGGGTATTCTGACTAGACAGCAAGTCCTGTCGGAAGCCCAGGAAAAAGGAACGAGGTGCTTTGTTCAGATGTTTGTAGGTGCGCTGATGAGCAAAGAAACTCACAGCAGGTGCTGTGAAGGGAAGTTACCTCCCTGCCTGTGGGCTTCCACTTGGGAACAGCGCCCTCTAGTGAGTCCATCCTGATCACGCTGCTAAGGGTTAGACTACTGCAGACAGTGCAGGCAGAGTCCAGGTAGGGAGTGCCTACTATCCACTTTGGTTTTTTGATACAGGTCCTCATGAGCTGGGGCTGACTAGTGAACCCCAGGGACCCACTTGGCTCTGTAGCCTTAGCACTGGAGTTAAAAGCAAGTGCCACATCACCTGACTTTTTTTATGTGGATTTTTGGGAGATGCTTGTACAGCAAGCACTTTACTGACTGAGCATCTCTAGCCCATCAAGTATTTTTTAAATGGGAATTTTAATCTGCACTGGTATATTAACTTAATAAATCTAAAATTTTAACTATTCTAAAAATAAAACTTGCACACATTTTATAAGAATTAAATTAATAAAAGCAGGATTTTAAATGGGATATTAGTACTAATTTCAGTGTTAGAAGGATAGCTTTTTACTTTTCTGCTCATGTGAACATACTTTTCTCAAGACTTGAATGTCCTCTCCCAAATGTATGTGTCATGATGCACCTGAAAGCAAGAATAGACTGAAGTGCCTTCTTTAGGGAAGCAGCGTTGCGTGCACTGTTGCCAGTGGATGCCATGCTCTGTGCTCACTCTGGCTGGGGCACACCCTTTAGTAACAGGTTCTGGGTGGGAAGGGTATTGAATGGAATTGTGCATGCACACAGGAGTGCCTTTCCTCGCGTGGTGATCTACTATAAACCTCTTTCTAGTCAGCACAGATCTAACCAGCTTCATGTACTCACACAGCCCGTCCTTCACCAGCGAGGTTAAGGTATTTTACCATCAACGATGAGTTCAGGACCCAGATATTGCCGTATGTTGGAGTTTCTGCTTCTGTAAAGCAGGTGAACTCCTGCTATTTGAATCCTTGCCTTAACATAGTCGATTTAAAATGTACTCGGTGCCTTATTATTTTTGTGGGAAGCTCACCATTCTCTCAACAGAGATGTGTGTGTTTCCCAGCAGTGTAAACCAGGACTGAAAATGTGCCTTCCGTTTGCACTTAACTGCCAGCAAGGCCGAGCGTCTCCTGTGCCTGTGGGACATTTGAGCTTGGTTTCTGTGACTTGCACATTGCTGTCAGTCTCCCTTTGTAAATCTGGAGTTGGGCCGGGCGGTGGTGCGCACGCCTTTAATCCCAGCACTTGGGAGGCAGAGGCAGGCAGATCTCTGAGTTCGAGGCCAGCCTGGTCTATAAGAGCTAGTTCCAGGACAGGCTCCAAAGCTACAGAGAAACCCTGTCTCGAAAAACAAAAAACAAACAAACAAACAAAAAAAAAAAAACTGGAGTTGGGTTTGTTTTGTTTTTTGTAGAAACGTGGCTAGATCCTATTACCACATTAGCAGTTTATTGTCTTAGTCTAGCATATGTCGTTTGCCCTTGTTTCTATTAGAATAATAGTTACCAAATGTTGTTTTATGAAGGGCCAGGCAGTATTTCAGGCTTTGGGAGCCTGTTTCCACGCACCCTTTGCAGCAGGGAAACGCATCCCGTTTGAGCCAGCGGTTCTCGGCCGCTTCTGCCGCATCCCCAGTAGACATCTATCTGCCAGTGTCCACAGGCGTTTTGTTTGTCACTTTAAAGATGATTGCTGCTTGTGTCTCGTGGGCAGAGGCCAGAGATCTTCTCGGTGTCTTGTGATGCACAGCACAGCCCCAAGCAAAATAATGTCACTCTCCAAAGATGTCAGTTACCTTTCTGGCCAAACTGGATATACTGTGTCAATCAAACCTTCACAGAACGGCAGCTGGTGGATTGTGCCTGTAGGTGTAGTTTCCTCGCCCTTATTTTAAATAGCTTTTGTATGCTGTTTTACTGGTTTTGTTTCTGGATTATCTTTTATGCCAAGTAGTTTTCTGTATTTTATTGCCTTAAGTCTTCTTTCCTAAAAATCGAGAGGCTCAGTAGCGTGTGTAAGGATGGCCCAGTATTTTTTAAGCATGGATTTTTGTTTGCTTAGTTTTGGTTGAAATTATATAAAATAAATCATTTCAGAAAAATATAATGGAGTCTTGCTTTTCCTTCACGGAGCTATGTGTCCTGGGCCTGCAGAGGAAAGAACACTGGGTCTGCAAGATCAAACTCAAGTGTACACATGGGTGACGCATAGCCTTTTAGACTTCTGAGTAACCTCCTGCTCTAACATGGACAGTGTGTGGGAGTGACAAGGACAGACCTAATTCTTGCTGGGTCTGCTTTTTTCCCATTTTTATGTATTATGGTCACTGAGAGAACAACAGAAGCAGATAACATCTATATATTTTAAGTACTGAAGGATTTAATAAAGATTTTTCATTTAAAGAGCATTTAGCAAAACTCAGGAGCCATGCTTAACTTAGGAAGAAAGTATAAAAGCTATAGGCCTGATGTACTATGGCATAAGTCGGGAAGTGCCGCACTAACTCAGTTCCATTGATGAAGAGTCTAAACACTGGTCACCTCAAGAGGAAAATGTCTGCTGCCCTGGTATGTGCCAGCTGAAGGATCTAGGTTGCATCTGCCAAAAGCAGTGGAGTCCCAGTAAAAAGTGACTGTTTATGACTAAAGGCATACAGGGAGTTGCAGAAATCGCAGTGAAGTTGCAGGTCCAGAGAGGAAGCCTGAGTAGTCCAGAGGATGGTGTCTAGGCCCGGGGAGTTGCACAGCCTCAGCACTAGCTACAGACCAAGCAGGAGGCACACTAGGACTAGCCCTAAACATCAGCCCCACAAAGGAAACAACCCTTCAGCCCCTTGACTAAGTCCTGTCCTGAATATTGTACACTACGCTGGATTAAATAAAAAAAAAAAAAACCCTTGAATTTCTAGAAAAAAAAGGAAAAGCAAAACAAAGTCCAAATGTGCCGGTCCCATGGCAGACACAAAGGAAATACACGTCTTCCCAAAATTACTAAAACCATACTGAGGCTCCCAATGAAAATGATTTGGAAGAACTTCCGGGGAGGGGGGAAAGACAAAACAAAACTGAATATAGTTATATATCAGGGAGCTCTGAGATCAGCCTCAGTGTCCCCCTTGTCCAGAGGAAGACTCACAGCAAGCATGGGACTTAGAGCTGAGGGCGAAATGAACTCTCCACAATGTACTTTTCTGCATCAGCATCTTTTTCTCCTGCTGTTCTCTTCTTATTCTGTAAAGTTTCCAGTTTATACACACACAAAACAGGCAGTTCTCTGACCTTGGACGTCCCTTTATCTTTGAAGGTCCCAAATGTGATCTATACAAAAGACTTTTCCTGAATGTGTGTCCTGCCAAATGGAAGATGGTGACAAGAAGGTGGCTATTAATGTATCTCAGGGACTGAGGCAGAGATTAGACTGTGGGGACCAAGGTTACTGACTGTGTGACTAAATTTCCCTCTGGAGGTCCCACGAAGTGGTTGGGATGGCCCAATATATCAGTACATGGGACAGAATTGTGCCCAGTAATCCGTACTCTGCTGAATCTTGCCCCAAGGGTGAATGCTTATGGCTTCACAACACATCTACTGAAAGAATCAGCTGATATGCAAAAGGTGGTAGGACCAGCATCTTATGAACCCTACTTGAGGATTCCACTTTAGCTGAGTGGAGATCTCAGCTCTTCAAGCTGGTTGCTGTGCTATGCTCTGCCTGCCCCCCAACACCGACTTATCAAATCGTTCTGCCACCAACACCGACTTATCAAATCGTTCTGCCACCAACACCGACTTATCAAATCGTTCTGCCACCAACACCGACTTATCAAATCGTTCTGCCACCAACACCGACTTATCAAATCGTTCTGCCACCAACACCGACTTATCAAATCTTTCTGCCACCAACACCGACTTATCAAATCTTTCTGCCACCAACACTGACTTATCAAATCTTTCTGCCACCAACACCGACTTATCAAATCTTTCTGCCCACCAACACTGACTTATCAAATCTTTCTGCCATGCAAACAAAAAACGGTGCCAATTGTCTTCTAATTTGGGGGGAGGGAGCTCAAGAATCTCTGGGTAAAACTCACATGGAGGTAGCCAATCTCTGGCACTGGGATTTTGTTTAATAACCTATGGCTTCTGAGAGTGACTTTGCCCTCAAGGGAAATCCTTGAAGTGATGTGTTAGCCTAGTTTTTCTTTCAGTTAGCATTGCCCTGCTTGTAAGACAGATGAGGGCTCTCCCCCTTCTGCTCTCTTCACCCCTTCTTCCCCTTCCCCTCCATAACCCACTAACTAAACTTTATAAACCCCCCCCCACAAAAAAAAAGACAGGTGGAGGCGGCACTGGCCTAGGTTGTCTTCCAGCCAGTTCTAGAGTCTGTGCTTATAAAACAAGCACCCTGTCACAGTCAATTCTCTGGGAGAGCCATGCGTAGCAGAGCTGAGAAACCTTTGATGGTAGACTGACCTGTTGGTCCCGTCGTGGAATGCTTGCAGGCCTGTGGCAATGTGCACACAGGTGAGGCCACAATGACATCCCTACTGACAGCCACAGGCCCTACATAGCATACCTGTCAATATCACAAGAGCAAGTAGATTTTTAAAAATATTTACTTTTTAATTTATTTGTGGGGTTTTTTTTGAGACAGGGTCTAAGTCGCCCTTGCTGGTTTGGAACTCAGAGACCCGCCTACTTTTGCCTCCTGTGTACTGGGATTAGAGGCACCTGGTACCACACCTGGCAAGCTTTCCTTTTATTTTTCAGTTGTTTTGAGACAGGGTTTCTCTGGGTAGCCCTGGCTGTCCTGGAACTCGTTCTATAGACCAGGCTACCCTTGAACTCATAGAGATCCACCTGCCTCTGCTTCCCAAGTCCTTTCTTTTTAATTATGTGTCTGCATGGGGATTTGCACATAAGTGCAGGTATCTGTGAAGGCTGGGAAGGGCAATCAGATCCCTTGAGCTGGAGTTACAGGCAGCCGAGAGCAACCTGACATGGGTGTTGGGAACAGAATTCTGGTCCTCTGTAGGAGCAATAAATGCTCTTAACTGTTGAACAATCTCTTGAGCTCTGCCCCATCACAATATCCATCCACCATGGCCACAATTCAAGAAGCTTATGACTCTAGATAGCATGTACAGTATTAAAATATGTCACAGATATGCCGGTGGCCTGAGTCATCTTCTATGTTAGCTCTGCTGTGTCCAGACTCTGCGTGAACCCAGAAAGCAGCCTCCAGGAGTACCTGAGGGCAGTCCTAGATCTTATTAAAGACATCTGGGGACGAATGGGCTGTGAGCTGTCACATGGAACACTGGACCAGGGAATCTCTACCAGTTTTCTGAGATGCCTACCTCCTACCCCGGTACCTGCAGCTGCATGCATTCACAGGCACACGCTGTTGGAAGGATTTTCCCACTAAGCTTCTCGGGTGTCGTGGGTGTCCTACTTGACCATACTGCCCCCGAGAGTGAGCAACTGTGCTGTCCCCTGCACCCTGAACAAATGGGCTTCCGGTCCTCAAACAATTAGCAGTCAGATGCTTTTTCAAAATGGTACCACAGGCAGCCTAGCCTGACTCCGCTGTCTAGATGCTCAATGTTCTGGTTTAGTTTTATGTCAATTTGACACAAGTTAGAATCATCTGAGGGGAAGGAGCCTCAGCTGAGAAAGTGCCTCTGTATGATTTGGCTCCTGGCAAACTTGTGGAGTATTTTCTTAATTAGTGATTGATGGGATGGTCCAGCCCATGGTGGGTGGGGCCATTCCCCAGGCTGGTAGTCCTGTATTCTCTAAGAAAGCAGGCTAAGCAAGTCATGGGAAGAAAGCCAGTAGGCAGCACTCCTCCACGACTTCTGCATCAGCTCCTGCGTCCGTGTTCCTGCCCTGCTTGAGTTCCTTCAATGATGAAAAGACATATGGAAACGTAAGCCAAATAAACATTTTCCTTCCCCACCTGGTGTTGGTCTTGGTGTTTCAGCTCAGCGACAGAAACCCTGACTAGGACACGTAATAAGCCTAACATTGTACAGTGAGATCTTACGGAGAACGGGCAGGATCTCCCAGGGCCCACCACTATCCAACTGGTCTTGGGATTCAACGCAACAAAAAGCCGTCTGTTTTTAAGTTTGCAAGGCCCACTAGAGCATGAAAATACCCATCCCTCCTTCCAGGGGTTTCCTCAAAAGAGCACATTGAGCACACTAGGCTACTGGGTACCTCCCAGCTCCAACTGCTGGGTCTCAGCCGAGCAAGAAAGCTCTGTGGAGACTCCCCAGGTCTGACAGGCTCCAGGCCAGCATCCATGGCTGCCGTGTCTCCATATACCCCACTCTCCAAGGAGAGAAGTGGATACAGCGTACTCCTGGGGGCAGGGGTAAATGCCCAGTCATGGCACAGTCTCTTGACCTACACCCAAGTGCCCTGGCCATCTGCTGGTGCTCTTTGCTCCTGGTGGCCGCCTAGAGTCAAGGCACACCCAGCTCCTGACTCCACCCTAGCCCAAATACCATTAAATCCTCAGTTCAATGTGGGGCCTCTCGTCACCCTGCAAGTCCGCACCTGCAGGCAACGCTGGCCACTTTTAGGGAAGCAGCGGTTGCATTGTGCTCCCCATAGCTCCTCCCTCCTCAGTGGCTGACACAAAAATGACCACTGCTGTCCCTCTAATGTCCACACCTTCCTTGGGAAGCCTGGCCGGACACTAGTCTTTGTTTTAATCAAGCTCATTTGAAAATCTTGTTAAGGATTATTTCCTAAAGCTTTTGCTTGCTTTAGTACATCTATTTCACAGTTCTTGATAGTCAACACCTATTTTGTGTGTCAAGTTCACAAAGAACTCCCTTGGTGTATCAAAGGATGTCACCTGCCTCCTTGTCAGTTTGGTGGCCTTTAGCCAGCTTAAATATGCAGGCATCTCACAGTTTCCTATTTGTTTTGGTTGTTAAGACATTGGAATCAGAGATGCACAAAGGTGAAATGGAACAATCCTCCGTGATCAAATAACCACAATCGGCCACTAGCAATGCTCTGGCACTCTAAGCTCATTTTGCCAGCACCATTTTTTTTTTTTTTGAGAAGGGATTTGTCTTTGTTGTGCTGGCTGTCCTGGGACTCACTCTGTAGACCAGGCTGGCCTCAAATCCAGCAATCCGCCTGCCTCTGCCTCCCGAGTGCTGGGGTTAAAGTCGTGCAGCACTAGGCCTGATTTTGTCAACCCCCTTCCTTTTGCCAGATTTTTGTCCATTTCCTTTTGGACCTAGCCCTGCTATGTGGCCCAGATTATCCTTGAACTGGCAATCCTGCTGCGCGAGTCCCGAGCCCAGTGCTCTGGATCACGTGTATGCAGCATCACGCCGGCTCTCCAGGGATGCACATTGGTGTATCTTGTTAAGAATGCATCTCTAACAGTCAGAGCCTCCTGCCACTTCCTCCTGTTCCCAGAATGCGCTTACACTCTTTCTTCAAACTATTTCGAAGTGACGCCCATACTTACCTCAGCTTTGTTTTCATGGCCTCCCCTTTTCTTCATGCCACACAAAGCTGGAGAGTTCCGGTGAGTTGTTCTGAGAATTTTATCACTTTGGTCAAAATGGATGCTTCCTTGTGCTGAATCTGCTCTGCCCATCCATTCCTGGAGCTCTTGATTTTAAAGAATTTGAAAACTTGAGGGAGCCCATGAGACTCAGTTTCCATCCAGAGTTCATTCTGATTTATAAGTCATTTGAGTTCAAGCTTGTCTGCTCTTCTTTTTCCAATATCCTTGAAGGTTGTGAGAGACTTCTGATTTGGCCCAAGAAGAAGACCATTTTGCCCATAAGAACACTCTATCTAGTGTTCTTATCTGCTGACCACAAGCCTCAGGAACACCAAGGTAGAAAGTGAGGCTGCTTCCGAGCAGCAAGTGCAGGTTAGGTAGGAGGCTGCTCACTCAAGGGCAGGAATGGTCTTGTGGTTGGATACTGTCTGTGCTGTGCTTAGTTCTGCCTTGGCATATAAGCAAGTTTTAAAATAAATTCTTGGCTGTTTGGAGGCTTGTTTAACCAACCAACTGCCAAACAGACCTCCAGATTCTATCCTGTATCTTATGTCTCAGTTTCTTTCATCTGACATCCTTTGGCCTTAAGGACCCCCATTCCAGGTACCTTAGCTGACTGTAGGAACGGGCTCCTACAGCAGGTGAGCTGCTGGGTCACCTTGGCAGGCCTGCTGCACCCTATCAGGAGGTGGCTAATGTCCGAGAGTCACAGTTTTATTGAGGTCAAAGTCAATGAAGGGACCAGAAGTGGTCACACAATCTTTCACATAAAAATTCTAGTGTTCAGCCAGGAGGTGATGGTGCACGCCTTTAGCCCCAGCACTCGGGAGGCAGAAGCAGGTAGATCTCTGTGAGTTCAAGGCCAGCTTGGTCTACAGAGCAGCTCCAAGACAGTCAAGGCTACATTGAAAAACCTGTCTCAAAAAAAACAAACAAAAGCAACAACAACAAAAATCCAGTATTCACTAAAGTTCGTTTTCTGAACCCACTATTCCCCTAGAGTCTAGAAAGTGGTGACACCCCCCCCCATTCTATCTCTGTTTTTCTGCATTTACTGGTGAAATCTGCTTAGGGGGAAAAAAAAAACCTGAATTTGATGAACACTTGTTGACACCGAAAAGTGGTTCACATGGAAAAGAAAAACCAATGTTCATGTTGCTTTCCTCTGCTAATGTAAGATGATGTTAGCCAGGCATGGTGGCGCACGCCTTCATCCCAGCACTTGGGGGCAGAGGCAGACAGATCTCTGTGAGTTCTGGGCCAGCCTGGTCTACATGGTAAGACTCTGTCTCAATGAATAAATACATTTCTAACTAAACAACGAGTTGGTGTCCTGCCATCATCGACTGCTGACTGGACTGTGCAGTCATCAACGCGATAATGACCAAAGTCCTAGCAGAGTCATGTCACGATGTCCAGCGTGAAACACAGGTTGAAAATGCAGCAACCTGAGTAACAAGAGGTATACTGATTGTCAATCTTTTTAATATTTGTGTGAATGAGGTATGCATTTGCATGTGTGTGGGCTCGTGTGTGTAGTGAACATGCACACAGGTGCATGTGGAGGTCCTAGGTTATCTGAGGAGCCATCTTTGACCACTCTTCCACTCTAAACACTGGGGTAGGGTCTCTCATTCCAACCCAGAGCTCAGCAATATGCCCAATATGTCTTACTAGCCAACTTGCTTAGGACATCCAGGTTCTGTCTCCAGAGGCCGGAACCACAGGTGAGCCCCTCCATCTACCTGGCATTTAACATGGGTTCTGGGATCCAAACTTGGGTCTTCATGCTCACACAGCATGCACTTCAACTACCAAGCCCTTCCCCAGCCCCAGCCTTTACATATGTGTACACATAAAAGCCAAATCCCCAGGTGGCTAGCTGTCTTTGATGCTATCCTTGAGATTGTGTGGCTCATCCTGAATCTTGTCAGAGAGGGGATTCGAAATGATCTGCTTTTTTGTTTAATTTGAAGAAGTCACTCTCTGATTCTTTAACGGTTAAGTTTTAACAACCCACATTCATGAAATTCAGTCATGAAGTGACAAAAACCTCCCAATTACTATAACCTCCTAGATCTTACCTCGAAGAGGTTACTCTGAGGTTTGTAAATGCAGAGATGTAAAAAGAAGCAGCATTTTTACATTTATTACTTCCATCGGATCATCTTCCTTTTATATGACTGACAATACTGCCAACAATCATGGACATCACTTAAGGGATGCATGCTACCATGACTGCTCTCTGTCAAGTCTTAGCCACTTCATTCTTATCAATTCTTTTATGCAGTACAGCTCTAAACTTCCGTCACTGGTCCCTGTCTTGTAATCGTCAGCTTCATGCAATCTTAAGCGTGAGAACTTATTTTAGCCAGCAGAAGGTGGTGAATGGTGGGATGTTTATGACTAGGTGACACAGATAATAACTTCAGTCTTGTAGCTGACTTCCATCCTGCTAGCAACCACCTTTCTTGGATTCTACGATCTCATTAAAACAGCAGCTACGCCTTTTATCCCAGCACTTGGAGGCAGAAGCAGGTGAATTTCTGTGAGTTCAAGGCCAGCCTAGTCTACAGAGTAACTTCCAGGATAGTCAGGGATGTACAAAGAAACCCCACCTAAAATTTAAAAAAAAAAAATCCAACAAACCAACAGCCACACTGGGATGGTCAAGGTGGCCAGGAACCTCACTCATCTTTCTGCCAATGGCCATCCAGAAACTGAGGATTTCAATGTATCCGCTCTCAAAGAATTCAGGTGCCTCAGGTGTCTAACCTGTTACCTTCGATATGGGTACTTCTCTAGTTAAGCCTTCAGATGAAAGCCAGCCTCAGTTGCAACTTCAAAGACCCAACTAAGGCTTTCCTGGACTCTTGAACTATAGAAATCTTTAGATACTAAATGTATATTATTTAAACTACTGATTTCTAGTAATTTGTTACATACCAATAAATAGCACATATAGGTACTATCATCACCATTCCAACAGTGCAGGAAACAAGGCATTGATATTTAGTGTCCTGTCCAGAATCACAGTGGGAAGAGTGTAGCCAGAAGGAGATGGAGGCAGATAAGGCTAAAGACTTTCCTACATTCATCAGATTATTCTTTCATAGGAATTTCCTGAAGATAGGTAACAGGTGAGAATGGAGGGTTTTTAAAGCACCACCGTCTTTCTTATGCTTACTTGTAAGCATGAAACAAATTATTCTCAAAAATGGGTTTCCTGATATTTTGCAACCTAACACAGAACTGAGGTTTTAAGTTGCACTGTGGATCTTCTGATGCTGGGTGAGGTGCGAGTGCTGTCTGAAGGCCTTCCCACACCCCTTACATTTGTAGGGCTTCTCTCCGCTGTGGATGCGCTGGTGCTGAGAGAGGAATGAGTGGAGCCGGAAGGCCTTCCCACACTCCCTGCACGCGTGGGGCTTCTCGCCCGTGTGGATGCTCTGGTGCTGAGTGAGCTGGGAGAGCAGCCGGAAAGGCTTCCGACACTCCTTGCACTCGTAGGGCTTCTCGCCCGTGTGGATGCTCTGGTGCTGAGTGAGCTGCGAGTACAGTCGGAAGGCTTTCCCACACTCTTGGCACTCGTAGGGTCTCTCGCCCACATGAATGCTGTGGTGTGAGATCAGCTGGGAATAACTACTGAAGGTCTTCCAACACTCTAGACATTCGTAGGGCTTCTCACGGGTGTGGATTCTCTGATGGCGAACAAGCTGTTGCCTCAACCTGAAGGCCTTCCCGCATTCCTTACATTCATAGGGTTTCTCCCCAGTGTGGATGCTCTGATGGACAGTTAGCTGTTGGCATATCCTGAAGGACTTGCCACAGTCCTTACAGGCATAGGGCTTCTCGCCGAAGTGGATCTTCTGATGGACGCGAAGGTCTGGGCCGCACACGAAGGCTTTCCCACACTCCTTACACTCATACAGCTTCTCGGAAGTGTGCAGTCGCTGGTGCCGGGTGAGGTGTGTGCACTGTCTGAAGGTCTTGCCACAGTCCTTGCACTCGTAGGGCTTCTCCCCAGTGTGAATCCTCTGATGCCGAGCCAGCTGCTGATGCACCCGGAAGGCCTTTCCACACTCCCTGCACTCATACGGCTTCTCCCCCGTATGGAGCCGCTGATGCTGAGTGAGTTCTTGGAGCACTGTGAAGGCCTTCCCACACTCCCTGCACTCATGGGGCTTCTCACCGGTGTGCAGTTTGTGGTGTCGGATAAGGTGTGCACGCTGTCTGAAGGGCTGCCCACACTCCTTGCATTTGTACGGTTTCTCACCAGTGTGGATTCTTAAGTGCTGACTAAGCGTTGAGCGGCGGATAAAGGTCTTCCTGCACTCTTTACATTCATAGAACTTTTCTCCACTCTGAACCTGCTGGCACTCGGTAAGGAAACGGTGCTTTCTGTGCGTGCCTTTCTCAGAGGTCATTTTCAACTGCCCCAGATAACCTTCCTGTGGTTCCTTTTGTCGCTCAGCCCTGCTTTCATATTCCCAATCATCTCTAGGACCAGAACCTTGGAGGCTGTAGCTTTTAATTTTCTCCATCAACTCCCACTGTAATGAATATAGTCCATAGATATCCTTGTCTGCAGAGGAAGTCTTGGTCTGGAATCTGGACACCAAATCTGAAAGAAAACAAGAAAGAAGTACGCTGCATCCCTGTTCCAGGAGGAGGAAAACGTCTACCGACAAATTAAAGGACCTAAAGTCATGCCTACTACCCTTCCTGTAAACAGGTATTTCTGAAAAAATACTACCCAGATGCACCCCAAAACCCATATCCTATACAAAATCCTGCACCACAAATCCATGGGAAAAACAGCACACATTAACATGCAACTGGGTACAATTTTATTAGTAAAACACTAACAACATTACAGTTGCTATCTCAAGGGGTAAAGGTGCTTAGTGTGGCCAAAGTCACTTCATGAATATTAAAATGCATAAAAATGAAGCAGAAGTCCTGTTTTGAGTGCCAAGACAGCACATGTGGAAATAAAGCCACGTAGGCTCACATCCACAACCCCAGCACTCAGGCGGCGAATGCTGGATGCTGCAAATTTAAGGTCAGCCTGGGCTACATCAAGTCTCAGAACAGCTTAAGCTACAAAGTAAGATAATCTCTAAAACTAAAAAAGAAAACTCAACTAGAGAATAATGTGTGCTTATATTCCCAACTTTCAGAGAGGATAAGGGAGAAGGATTCTGGGGGAGAACTTGACCCTGAGTTAGAAGCCAACCTGAGTGGCATAGAATCCCATCTCAAAAATAAGAAAAAAGTTAAAGACCAAACTGGGTGTGGTGGTGCTTGACTGTAATCCCATCACTCAGGAGATGGAAGAAGAGGACCAGAAGTTACATAGACATACATAGTGAGTTCAAGTCTAGTCTCCAAGATGAAGGAAGGAAAGAGAGAGGGAGGGAGGGAGGGAGGGAGGGAGGGAAAGAGGGATCTCCGACAGGTATGGTGGTGCATTCAATTCCAGTACTCAGGAGACAGAAGGAGTTCTGGGCCAGCCAGGGCTATACAGTGAGATCCTGACTCAAAAAAGGAAAGGAAGGAAGGAGCAGCTGAGGCGACGACTCAGTTAGTAAAGTGCTTGTTCTGAAGCAGGCAGACCCGAGCTTATATCCCCAGCACCCACAGAAAAAGCCTGGGGTAGAAGTGCATCCTTAATCCCAGCACCACACAGGCAGAAATGGAGGAACCCTGGGGATTTGCTAGCCAGTCAGTCTAACCAATCAGTGAGTTCCAGGTTCAGTTCAAGGCTGTGTTTCAAAAAAATAAAGTGAAGAAGCCATTGAGGAAGGTACCCCACATATACCTGCACACGCACACACACATGTGAACGAGCCACCAAACACTTGCACAGCCTCACACAGAAACATCCTCTCCCCAACACACACGCAAAAAGAAGCTTTCAGAGAGGCAAGCTACCATTAGGGTGGATGAAATGTAGCCTTAGCGAGGGGCCGAGCCTCCACCCCTGAATGCTAAGATGTCAGGCATGCACCTCCATATTGTGGTGAGTCCACAAGAATTATGCAGTAATGTACAGCTGACAGATCTACCGGACTATCCACAGGAAGTGCGTGCACTCCACCTGGACTAACCTGTTCCTGCAGAGCCTCGGGGACACCTGGCCTTTCCGTAGAAATCCTGTGAAATCATGGCATTTCCCCCTTCTACAGTGTCCCCGCAGTGGATAAACCTGACTTTCCCTGGAGGACAGCCGGATACCTCCCCCACTCCAGGAATCCTTGAAGTGAAAAGGATTCAGTCAGTCAAGCCTTTGTTCCCACAGCCAGAGTCTACATAAAGGAGTTCCCCACACACTGTACTGACAGGACTGTACTCACTGATAGGAAAGGAGCCTCACACAGGAGGTAGTGTGTCTGCTCTACAGCAGACTCAGGAAGTGTGATCTACTGGTCTGCTCTGACCTAACAGGCTACTAATATTCTGTAATTACCCTTCACCTTGCTGTCAACTAACACAGGGTCATAGCCCAGGAAATTAACTGTTTATACAGGAAAAGGGCCTGAGTCACTAAAACTCGCTTCAGAGAGGAAAATTCTCACCTGGGCATTCCCCAGAAGAGATTTAACTCCACCAGCTAGATGCTAATGTGGAGGCCCAAAATCACGAGCCTATTTCCACACTGACCTAAGGTCAGAGAGTTGGGCTTACCTTTAGCTCCTTCAAGGTTACTGTGCTTCTACCTCAGAAGGCCCCACCTAGACGCTGACCAGAGAGTTCTGCTCTCTCAAGGTGATTGTCAACAGGTGTGGCTAACTGCCAGACCTTGTGCTCCAGGAATAAAGAAGTAGATCTGTTCCTACCTCAAACAAAAGTCTAAGGATCCAACTAAGTTCCAGTTCCCTTTATGGAGTCCACCCAGGGAGTGGTTTGCCTACAGAGTGTTTTGGTCCCACGACCTTCTGTTGGTATGTTCATTTCCTTGTATCGTGTTAATGTAGTTTTTTGTCTTACTCCTATCTTTTGGGGTCAAGGGTATTTTAAGCAGTTGGAAATTAAATGCAGGCAAATTTTCAGTACCCATGAAAATCCCCTCCTGATACTATCCTATTTATTTCTCCATTTTATTATTTTCATTTGTGTCTTCATATTCTTTACTATATTTCTAATCCCATGCTTTTACCTTGGCAAGAGGTATTTTTGTTGTGGCTGGTCCCCGACATGCTAACACAAATCAAGCCCACAGGTCAGTATAGCTACCAATGCTGTGTTCCCAGCCACAGGGGAACTTCATAACCACACTCCTGAGACATATGGTACCTCCTTGTCAGATTAACCGGTTTTTGTCACTCTTGTGAAAATGTATGTTTGATACTATTGTTACCAGCCTGGTCTTCAGAGCAAGTTCCAGGATAGCCAGTACTACACAGAGAAAGCCTGACTTTAAAAACCACCACCAACAACAAAAAAGGGGCAATTTTGCTACTTCAGAGTTAAAAATGGGAATTTGGGCCAGAGAAAGGCTCAGCGGGGAACAGTACTGCCACCGCCTGCCAACCTGAGCTGGATGCCAGAACCCATGGGAAGATGAAGGCGAGAACCAACTCCATGCAGTGGTCCTCTGACCTCCACGCATGCCATGGCATACATGCCTATCTCTCTCCCACCCCTCTTTCACATCCACACATATTTTTTTTATCTGAATTAGCTTCAAGTCTCAGGCTTGAGGCCAAGACTTTGGAAGAGAAATCCTCAAAAATCTCTCAGCAAGGACCCCGCTCATTGGCTGAGCAACTAGCTGTAGCAACAGCCCCCAGGCCAGCTCACCCTCACTCACCGGGACAATGTCTTCTCCCTTCTTTCACAGCTACCTCAGGCTCCTTCCCGTCTTCATCCAGTCTCTTAGACATGGAAGGTCCTGCTTAATAGAAAAATGTCAAATCGAATTATAAACCTGAAAGTCCTTACTTTCAGATTTCACTAAATTTTAAATTAATTATAAGTCAAATGGTGCTGTTTGGAGACAGGGTCTCACTCTGAAGCCCAGTCAGCCTGGCACTCAGTATACAGTCCAGCCCAGCATTCAGGTGGCTATCTTCCTGTCTCAGCCTCTTGAGTACTAGGATCACCTCCTTGCCTGTCTCCAAAACGGCACTTCATAAACTAAAGCATTAAATCCACACAATGGAGCTCCAGAGTAACCATTTTAGGGAGCCTTGAGACCACAAAGAATAAACACCAGATGACTAAGGACATACTTCATGTAATTTAGCCTGGCTCTGCAGAGCGGCCACACCGTGTGAAGACTACAGCTACGGACAGACTACTTCACATCCGACCTGCTTCCTAGGCCACCTCAGTAACCAGTGTGTGTGTGTGTGTGTGTGTGTGTGTGTGTGTGTGTGTGTGTGTGTGGACATACACATGCCATAGCACACATACAATCGGAGAACCTTAGAACTCCTAGCTCTCCACTGTCGGAAATGAGGTCTTTTGTTGTTCATTTCTGTGCTCACCAAGCAGGCCTGAGTTTCCAGGAATCCTCCTGTCTTTGCCTCTTCCCTCACCACAGTAATGCAAGACTACACACAGGCACTACTGCACTGTTACATGCGTTCTGCGGACTTGAATCGGGTCCTCACATTTGCACAAGTGCAAAGTGTCATCTCCATGGCCCCAACCTCTTGTGCCTGAGCACAGAAGAGGATGATGCCAGCATCTCTCTCAGGAATGGTTGTGAGGCTTGATGGACCGCATAACACCTGGAAAAGCACCTAGGCACTAAGTGCACAGAACACACATGCCTTAGCTATGATTCTCACTGTGCTCACAGGGATGACAGGATAAGAAACAGTCAGACCCTTTCAGTAGATACAAAATGCTGAGATTCTAAGTATTTTTGTGGTACTGGGATTAAATCCAGGGCCTCACATGCCCTAGGCAAATGTTCAAATACTGAGCTACAGTCCCAGCCCAGGTTTTAACTTTCAGATGTGAAGCAGGAAGACCGTTAGAGGCTGTTACCCAGAAAAGAGCATGTTCCCCGAGTTTTAAGCTTGTATCCATCCCACATGCATTGCCTTTGAAGCTAGAGAGGAGCAGGGAGTGTCTACATCGTATTCATGTGGTATACAATCTGCTTTCTTAGAAATACTTCTGCCATACCAAATCCAGATGCCTGGGAAACCTGAACACAAAGGAAGCCAGGGATCAGTCTGAGAAAACGAGAAGGCGCCCTAGACCAAGAATGGCTACAAGTTGAATGGAAGAACCTATTTCCAATCTACAGAGCAGAAAGTAAGAGCGAAGGGAAAGCTAACCCTCCGGGGCAGAGCGCTCACCCAGAGAGAGGAAGTTGCTGTAGTTCTCCCACATCACGTCCCGGTACAGGCTCTTCTGAGCAGAGTCCAGGAATTCCCACTCCTCCAGTGAGAAGTCCACAGCCACATCCCTGAAGGTCACTGAACCCTGAAAAGAACAAACTCGTGGTAGTGCATGGGAAAGTCTTTTCTTCTTTAGGAGAGAGTGGAGACTGAAGGAGGAGCACACAGCACTCAAACAGCATGGGGCTGAACACGACAGGAACAGACAGCAAGTCAGTGCCTCAGTGACGGCATGCTCCTACATAGTCCTGGTCACACATGGAGTTAGAGTTTTAAACACATGTTTCTTTCACTTTTATTTAGAGAAAGAATGTGTGCACGCGCGCGCATGTGTGTGTGTGTGTGTGTGTGTGTGTGCCTGGGCATACCATAGCACATGTGTGGAGGTCAGAGGACAATCCATAAGAGCCAGTTCTTTCTACCACGTGGATCCCAGGAACTTAAACTCAGACCATCATCTCTGCCTCCTAAACCATCTTGCCAGCCCAAGGTTAGATTTTTCATTCATTGTGGAAATGAATACAGCAAACACCATGGATGAACCAGACTGTACAGCACACTGTGTGCTCCCATTATGAGCTCTACAGAAATAGCAACACTCAGCTTCACTGACAAAAACACAGTGACCACATTTTCTTCCAAAAAGAAAACAATTCATTCCAGATCCACTACAAAATATCTAAGACAGCCTGATTCAAGTTCTCTACAAAGTTAGATTCTATTTTAAATTTGTTCTTTGTTACAGTCAATTCTTCAGTTTTAATTTTTGGTAAAAACTTGTCCTCGCCTTGAATACATTAGATAGATCTAGTATCTCTTTTTAACGGGTAGACATTTGAGCCTGTGATGGTGGCGCATGCCTTTAACTCCAGCACTTGGAAGACAGAAATGGGTGGATTTCCATGACTCCAAGGCCAGTCTGGTCTAAATAGTGAATCTAAAGCCAGCCAATCATGGCTACACAGTAAGACCCTGAAACAAAACAAAACAAATTCTATCTTTGAGCCTGGCACAATCCCAAAAGCTGACCTAGCTCTTGTTTAGAGTATCTGACACATGAATGACAGGCACCCTCCTCATCCTGCCCAACAGTCTCAGGAAACGTCTTTCTGTCCCAGAGTTACAAGACACTAGTCATGAAAACACTGTGAAGCTAGCCCCCCGGACCAGAAGGGAGGCTATTTCCTCCCTTCTACATCTATGTAGTTATTTATTTTACATGTATTGCTTAGAGGACAACTTACGAGAATCATTCTCTCTTTCCACCACATGAGTCCCAGGCCAGCCTTAATCCTCCACGTAGGCAGGACGATTACAATGATGCTCCTGCCTCACCTCCCAAGGGTGAGACTACAGGAGTATTCTCAACATGCCCCACAGGACCAGCATGTTTCAACAGAGAGCAATTGTGTTCCCCAAAAGGCAATATCTGAAGACAATTTGGTTGTCACAACAGGGGGTGTGCCAGAGTTACAGGGACCTAAAGATAGAGGCCAGAATTAGCTGTCACACAGGCTACAGTGCACAGGTAATTCCATACCATTAAAGGTTTTCTGGCTCAAAATGTCAGTGGCAGCAAAGCTGAGACTTCTTGCTCAAATCAAGTGCATCCCATAAAAGCGCACAAAGGGCTTTGTTGTGGGGTTCTCTCTGGAAGAAATTCACCTTTTCTTCTTGAGTCAGGGTCTCACTATGGAACTCAGGCTGGCCTCTGCAACTTTCCAAGCATTAGGATTTTACAGGGACGCCCACTATGCCCAGTGCAGGGATGGATCTTGGTCCTTCTGTGTGTGTTCCTGTTCTTATCATTGTTTTTGTTTGCTTGTTTTTTGTTTTTAGAGACAGGGTTTCTTTGTGTAGCTTTGGAGCCTGTCCTGGAACTCACTTTATAGACCCAGGTCCAGAAGTGTCAGAGAGAGAGAGGGGTCACGGAGGCAGCCTTGACCCCAGCCTAGAAATATCAGAGACAGGGAGAGTGGTGGCAACCAGGCTCCAGGCTGGAAGGGGCTTCCAGAAACAATATTAAGAAGTCCCTCTGGGAAAAAGCACCTGTGACACAGTCAGTATCCAATGCCATTCTCTGCAAAAGATACACCGCCGCATAAACACCCACCAGGGCCACAGACCCACCTGTACCAAGGGAGTGACCGCCAGAGCCATGACCCCATATGCATCTGGAGAAGTGACCAATGTAATACAGCCACCAAATGCACCAACTGCACCAAATGAAGGAAGAGGGACCCCTTGAAGCACAGGCTCCACCTATATCAACTGGAGGAACAGATGGGTAGACAACAGTACAAGATACACTCAACAACATAAAGGGCAATATGGCACCACCAGAGATTGATGGTTCTACAACAGCAAGACCTGAACATCCCAACACAGATGAAGCCAAAGAAAACTACCTTAAAAATAACTTCAAGAGGCCGGGCGATGGTGGCGCAAGCCTTTAATCCCAGTACTTGGGAGGCAGAGGCAGGCGGATCTTTGTGAGTTTGAGACCAGCCTGGTCTACAAGATCTAGTTCCAGGACAGGCTCCAAAGCTACAAAGAAACCCTGTCTCGAAAAACCAAAAAATAAAAAATAAAAAAAATAATTTCATGAAATGATTGAGGCCCTTAAAGAGGAAATGAACATCTTAAATAAATGGAGGAAAAGACAAACAAAAAATTGGAAGAAATCAACAAATCCCTTAAAGAAAAGGAACAATCAAACAGGTAAAGGAAATGGTTAAAGACTTAAAAACTGAACTAGAGGCAATAAAGAAAATCCCAATCAAGAGAATTTTGGAAATAGAAAATTTGGGTAAATGATCAGGAACTACAAATATAAGCATAAACAACAATACAAGAGACGGGAGACAGAATCTGAGGCATTGAAGATACAATAGAGGAAATAGATTTATCGATAAAAGAAAATGTTAAATTCAACAAATTCTTAACACAAAATATCCAGGAATTCTGGGATACCATGAAAAGACCAACCTAAGAATAAAAGGGATAGAAGAAGGAGAAGAAGTACAGCTCAAAGGCACAGAAAACATATTCAACACAATCATAGAAGAAAACTTTCTCAACCTAAAGAAGGACATGCCTATGAAAGTTCAAGAAGCTTACAGAACAGCAAACAGACCAAACCAAAAAAGTCCCCTTGCCACATAATAATCAAAACACTTAACATACAGAATAAATAAAGAATATTAAGAGCTACAAAGGAAAAAGGCCAAGTAACATATAAAGGCAAACCTATCAGAATTACACTCAATCTTTCAATGGAAACAATGAAAGTCAAAAGATCCTTGACAGGTGTTATGTAGACATTAAGAAACCACATATGCCAGCCCAGACTACTATACCCAGCAAAACTGTCAATCACCATAGATGGAGATAACAATATATTCCAAGACAAAACCAGATTTAAACAATACCTATCCACAAATTCAGCCTTACAGGAAGTACTAGAAGGAAAACTCAAAACCAAGGAAGTTAGCTACATGCACAAAAACACAGGAAATAGATAATCCCACATCAGCAATTCCCAAAGGAGGGAAACTCACACATGATGCCACCAACAACAACGAAAACAAAAATATGAGGAACTAGCAATCATTGGTCATTAATATCCATTAACACCAACAGACTCAAGTCACCTATAAAAAGACACAGGCTAACAGATTGGATACAAAAACAAAATCTATCCTTCTGCTGCATACAAGAAACACAGATCAACTTCAAAGACAGGTATCACCTCAGAATAAAGGGTTGGGAAAAGATTTTCCAATCAAATAGACATAAGAAACAAGCTAGTGTAGCTATCCTAATATCTAACAAAACAGACTTCAAACTAAAATTACTCAAAAGAGCTGAAGGATGCCATTTCATACTCATCACAGGAAAAATTTATCAAAATGAAGTCTCAATCCTGAACATCTATGCCCCAAATACAAGAACACCCACATCTGTAAAAGAAACATTACTAAAGCATAGATAACACATCAGTTCCCACACACTAATAGCAGGAGACTTCAACACCCATTCTCATCACTGAACAGGCCTGCCAGACAGAAACTTAGCAGATTGGTTGGTTTACCTACTCCAGTTGTCCCTTTTACAAGAAATCAAACTATCATTTTTCACAGATGATATGATAGTATACATATAGTATACATAAGTGACCCCAAAAACTCCACCTGGGAACTCCTACAACTGATAAACATCTTCAGTAATGTGGTAGGATACAAGAGTAACTCAAAAAAAAATCAGTAGCTCTCCTATACACAAATGACAAATGGGACAAGAAAGAAATCAGAGAAAAATCACCCTTTACAATAGCCACAAATGTAACAGGGTGTTATTGACTCGATGTCTCAAAGGACTGAAGCAAGTACCTGTTCTGGCACCGTTGTTTCACGTTCAAGCCTTTGTCTTCTTCCCCTTGTGGTACTGGGGTATAAAAGTGTATGGAAAACTAAATGCTAAGGATTTTCAGTATTCACTGGACTACCTTCCCAGTACTATTCCATGGTTTCTGTTTTATTATTTTTAAATGCATTCCATATTCTTTACTTATATTTCTAAATACCCATGCCCCTAACATGGCAAGTGGTATTTTTGTCGAGGCTGGTCCCCAACACAAAATACCAAATAATCCAATTTTAAAAAGGCATGGAGAGCTAAACAGAATTTTTTCAACAGAAGAAACTCAAATTGCCAAAAGACATTTAAGGAAATGTTCAACATCCTTAGTCATCAGGGAAACGCAAATGAAAACAACTCTGAGATACCATTTTACACCTAGTAGAATGGCCAACATCAAAAACACTGATGACAACTTATGCTGGAGAGGTTGTGAGGAAAAGGGAACACTTCTGCATTGCTGGTGGGAATGTAAGCTGGTATAACCATCTGGAAATAAGTATGACCATTTCTCAGAAAATCAGAAATCAATCTACCCCAACCAGTGATATCACTCATGGGCATATATCCAAAGGATGCTCAATCATACCACAAGGACATGAACTCAATAATGTTCATAGCAGCATTTATGTAATAACCAGGACCTGAAAACAACCTAGATGCCCCTCAACTGAAGAACGGATAAAGAAAATGTGTACATTTTCAAAATGGAATATTACTTGGTGGTTAAAAAAAATTACATCATGAAATGTATGGAACTAGAAAAGACCATCCTGAGTGAGGTAACCCAGACCCAGAAAGACAAACACGGTATGTACTCATAAGTAGATAGATGATATAAAGCAAAGAATAACCAGACTACAATCCACAGCTCCAGAGAAGCGAGAACCTTCTTCCAGTAATACATGGACCCAGATACAGAGATCTACAACCAAGCACCAGGCTGAACTCAGGGAGTCCAGTTGAAAAGAGGGAAGAGGGATTATATGAGAAAGGGAGATGAAGATCGTGATGGAAAAATCTACAGAGACAGCTGGACCAAGCTCCTGGAAACTCATGAACTCCGGACAGCTGTGGAGCCTTCATGGGTCCACTAGGCCCTCCCTATGCGGGAGACAGTGGTGAAGCTTGGCAGTGGGATCAGGATCTATCCCTGGTGCAGGAGCTAGCTTGTTAGAGTCCATTCCCCATGAGGGGATGCCATGCTCGGCCTTCATGCAGAGGGGAGGGGTTTGGTCCTGCCCCAAATTAATGTGTCAAACAGTGTCAATTCCCCATGGAAGCCCTTACCTTTTGGGAGGAGTGCATGGTGGGTGGGCTGGAGGGAGGCAAGGGGGAGTTGGAGGAGGAATAGGAGGGAGAACCTTGGTTAGAATGTAAAATGAATTAAAAAATAAATAAATGTTTTTAAAATGTATTGAAGTACATCATTCCACTTAAAGCTTAAAACTAAAAATTAAAGCTGGGCAGAGTTGGCGTATTCTGAAATGGACACAGGAAAATTTCAAGCTCAAGGCCAGCTTGGATTACTACACAGTAAGACCCTGTCAAAGAAAACAGAGGAGAAGAAAAAAGAAGGAAGGATCGGGGGAAAGGAGACAGGAAGAAAAACAAAGAACAAAAAGAAAAAGTAAATTCAAATGAGGTAAAAATTAATGTGGGTGTTTGAAGTGAGCACTGCTCTTCATCTGGGCTGCCTGGATGGGAGCTGACTTAAGGGGATGGCTAAAGAGCTCGTACATCCGTTTCTTGATGTGGAAGTAAAGGAAACTCAATTTCTGAACATTTATTCAGCTACACATGTATAATTTGCACACAAACTTCACTGGACAGGCTGTTAAGTGTCATTTGGGGACTAGAGAGATTGCTTAGTCAGTGAAGGACTTGCCACAGAAGCGTGAAGGCCTGCGTTTGGGATTCCCAGCAGGCATGCAAAAAGCCAGGCACGTGCCGATAATTACACGCCTGTACGTGCATGGGGGAATGGAGACAGAAAGACTCCTGGGCCTTGCTGGCCAGCCAGTCCAGCTGAGTGGGTGAACTCCATGTCCAGGATACTCTGTCTTGAAAATAAGTTGGAAATCAAACTGAAGAAGACAACCAGAGTCAGCACACATGCACAGATGAACACAGCTTTAAAAATGATAATAAAATGTCATACTGTATATTGGCAATACAAATCTTTTCTGTATGAAACAAAATTAAAAAAAAATCATCAAGCTGGGCTACACACACCTTTAATCCCAGCACTTGGGAGGCAGAGGTAGATCTCTGAGTTCAAGGCCAACCTGGTCTACAGAGTTCCAGGAAAGCCAGAGCTACACAGAGAAACCCTGTCTCAAAAAAAAAAAAAAA